GAACATATTTATGGAGGAATCATTGAAATATCAGGGTTTCCATTTAATGAATTAGTCTTGTTATAGCTGTTACAGCCTCCAGTTTGCCTCAAGAAGTTATTGCACTCTATGAAAAAACAATGAGTATTGTTTGAATGACTTGAAAAAAATAATTATGGGGAACTGGATGGTTCCCAAAGTCTGCGAGCAGGAGGAAGGGTATTCTGCCAGATCAAAGGCATCCCAGTTGTTCCATCTGACAGCTCTCTAATGATTTTAATGAGCAAAGTTTTATAGCCTCAGCCTGGCTCCCTGGATAATTTGTAGAGCTTCATAACGAGCATCGCTATGCTGAGCACAGCCAGCCAGCTCTGCTGGTTATTTCAGCAGTGAATGAACGGGCCACAGAAGTCAGACTGCCTCCTTCCTTCCCGAGGGCTGACCCTTTGAATCCAAATGAGAAGGTGATGGGCAGCGTGATAATGCTTGCACTACTGTCCTCTACATTGTGTTTGTCTGGTAGTGACAATCCTATTAAATACACAAACAACAAGAAGATTTTGGCCTTAGGTAGGAAATAAAATTCTGTCGCAGGTCAGTAAGACTAAGATTTTGAGCCATGTCTCAGAAATTATATCTTGGCCAGCAGTTACCTTGGAGCTGCCAGTATTATCTTGCTAATTTGTCTCTGGAGGCAACAGACAGAGACAAGGAGATATGCATCGAGTCCAAAATGGATGCAGGAAGCTGATGACTTCATTCTGACAGTCATCACAAGAAACACCAAGTCATTGAGTCTCCTGTGTTCGATTCCTGTTGCCCAAGGGTGCAGAAGATACTCCTTCTCTTCTGCTTACTGTAATATTGGCCTAACAAAAAAATGCTTCCAGAATGATAATTTTTCTAGAGCTGCTCCCTTCCCACTCTTTCTTCAGTGCCATACGGATCCCTGGAGAACAGCTAAACCAGGATGAGGTTTGACTTTGAATAGGTTGACATTCAGCTCCAGATCCTTTGTTATTCCAACTCCAAGGTTAGGAAAGAAAGGGCTGACTTATAGGAAATATTTTTGATTTGGTCCATTTCTATTAATATGAGCTGTAGAACTACAAAAAAAAATAAATAATACAGCGTGTACTGGAATTCAAGTAATTATCATCAGAAAAATCAACTCCACACATTTTTATTGCTACTACTGCTGGCATAGAATTACCAGAAAAATAGAACTCCTTGTACATCACAAACCCTTTAATTTTGTCCAGAGTTTTTTTAAAGAGTTTTCTTCTTATTACTTCTGTTGATCTATTTTACGTTTGAAGTTTGTTTTTCAGACTGACATGTCAAGCTAAGGGTAGTGAGTGCTAAGAGTCTGCTTTTCTCTAATTTAGCAGCTGGATTGGAAAGCTTGAATTATCTCTGAATAATTGCAATGATTCATGGCTTGTTAGAAAATTGCAAAGTATTGATTGGATTTTCCCCTCAGGAAATATTTCTCCTCTGATAGAACAGAGTAGGTTGTGGGGCTTTGCTTTTGTCCTTCCTGCCTTCTGCCCTGGGAAGCCAGTGGCTCCTTTCATCTGAGAAATGGGAATGTGGGTCAACAGCCATTCAAGGACAGGTCTGAGACACTGCAACTTCCAACTCCAAATCTTTCGCTGCGTTTTGCAAAGTGATGGGCTTTGCAAACTGCACGTGGGGAAGACAGAGCCAGAAGAGATGGCACTAGCAGCAAATGCTATCCATTCTTGTTTCTTTTTCTTCTCTTTCCATAGCAAATCCAACTGGTGTTTTCTGCAGAGAAACCATGACCTCATGGGAACGCTACAAGTACTGAAGATGGTGGTTAGATTTGCCTTACTTTTATTCACCCAGGATTTCTCTCAGGAGCTGGTTACAGGAGAGAAATGGGAGGATGAAGTGAGGTTGTACGGAAGGAGCCTGATGCTCAGTGCCTGGGGCTGAGCAGCTCTGAGTTGATAGCCCAGCACACATCTGCATGTTAACGGTGCTGCCGAGGCAAAAGCTTGGGACTTTTGGCAGCGGCTCTATGAATTTCCAGAACAGAACTGGAAATACACAGTTATGAGTATGACCTCTGCTTCTTTTTGTTAAATTGAGCATCCAAGTATCATTCCTTGTCTCTGCTCCAGTTCCTTGGAATGTGCTGCCTCTACAAATGGTCGTGTCCAAGCACAAACTGAAGAATTATGAGAGAGCGCTAATTCAAGGTTTGCAATGAATTTAGTGTTCCCGCAAGGATGACACTAATGGCAATTAATGCAGCAGAAATGCCAGTGCTGAATGACTTTTCTCACATTAAAAGCTGTCAGTCCCAGAGCACATAGTCCTATGTTATTTCAGGCCTGACCTCTGCTTTTTGGCCATGTTTCAGCTGTGCAGGAGGTGTCCCAGACCATCCCATAACAGCAGCGGCATGATTCAGGAGGGGGGCACAAAGAAAGAGCAGAGCAGCCAGAAACTGTCTTCGCTGACAATGACATTTCCTGAGGGTTTGTATATTCTCATCTGGGGCTTGCCTGAGCAGGAACAAAATTAACCTAGGGCTCAGAAGAATATAAGCCTTTAACCTCATGCACTGCTGTCAACTGACTGCTGTTTGGATCTATATTTCCTTCTGCTGTTTCAGTTTTGCCTCTCAGCCTTGTGAAGAACACATTTAATCAAAACAATCAAATGCATTAACCCGTCTTCGCTGGAAATAGCCCCTGCTGCTGCTCATATACATGGCAATCCGTGGAAATTTCTGTGCTACATGGTGCGCAAATAAATGTCTCTGCTTCTTAATGTCTTAAGTTCAACGAGTGATAACTGTAGAGCAATGTAGGGATCATGATTTTCAGTTCAGCCAGAAGACACATTGTCCTCATGTAGGATGAAACAGTTCCAGCTAAGGAACATCTGCAATTTGGTGCAAGAGGAAGTAGTACTTACACATATGAAAAACGTAAATAAAGGCTGTTTCCCAGCTCCCATATGACAAACAAAACCCCAAACACAAAAGTGAGAGCAACTTTTACAAAAGGATAACTAAAAATAGTTAATCTGTGTTATTTAAATATTACTTGAAACTAGTAGCATTTCTGGAGGGTAAAACTAGGCTTGAAAAAGTCATGTTTGTTAATGACAAAGTTCAATAGAGGACCGCAAATAGGATGTGAGATGGAAACTTTTAACTACACAGCTATAAATATACCCCAGCCTTTACACATCTCAGTGCACAACTCAGTGCAGCAGAGTAACCTCTGAAAGTGGCAGAAGCAGGAGCAGCACTTTCAGACTCTAGCTTTTGGGTATTCACCAGATTTGGGTGTTCTAGATTTGGGGAGTTCACCTGGAGATAAAAAGGATTGATCCAAGCCGTGCAGGATCTGCTGGGGACTCGCCGGAGGCCTGTGGTAGCACAAGGGGTGAGCACAGTCCGTGATGTTCCTTCCTAAGTTCTCTGATGTCTGAGTGGGGATTCGGTTGCACCCTGTGTATCTTTGTTATGAGTGTCTTGTTTTCTTCACTCGGAAGCTCTGAGGCAGCGTGAAGCATTTTTAAGTGGAAAGGATCAGGTTATGGCTCATTATCATCCCAGCAGACGGTAACTGATGCACAGCGCTGCCGCGGGTGCCTGGGGGTTTCTTTCCTCACACAGAAATGACAACATGGCCACTGGCTGCCGAGATGGCTAACATACTGCCGCTGCTCGCGGCAAGCCGCTGGAAACAAAGTGAGGTCTAAAGGCCTTGGTTTAATCATCTGGGCACCACTGTTATTTTTATCCTTTCTATTTAGGCCTCCAGCCTGTGCCAGTGGAAGCTGACAACAAAGATGACATCTCTCCTGGCGCAGGGCAGACGAGGGGTACTGGCTCTGAGGACGGAGAAGCCAGCGGGCAGCAGGGCCATGGTGGGCCGGGGGCCTTTGTTCCTCTGGGTGCTGGAATGGGAAGAAAACTGGCTATCCTAGTGCAAACCATGAGGGAGCAAACCCTTCCTCTTCAAGTTGCCCTGGGGCAGGACTGATTTGTCTTCAGATGACCCCACCTAAATGCAGATATATGTACATATAGTCTTTTACTCTTTCTGCTTCCGCCTCCTTCAGAGGTTAACTTTGCTATATTTTTCCATGTTCACCTTTGACTGTGCCACAGACAAATCATCAAGTCTTACCTCTTCAGATGTCTCAGACCAGTGTTTCACCTGCTGCCACCTCTGCATGGTCCCTGAGGCAATGTTTTGTGCCTCATGAACCCAACGAGCTTGCTGATTCCTCATACACAAGAGACGCCTCCATATCGAGTGCTGTTGGCTTTGAGCACTGCTCTTGCCCTGGGTGTGGACAAAGCTGTGAGACCTGGAGGATTTTGCTAACCCACCCCAGTTTTGGTGGGGCTGCAGACCACGCTGGGGCCTTCTCCCTGTGGAAGGAAGCCCCTGTGGTGCTGCCACTGGCCCACGATGGCGGGAGGATGGTGCCCATGCCTTGGATGGGTAAAAGATTCAACCACAAGAAGTCATGAGCTGCGTGCATTCCTTCAGAAGCCCACAACGGAGCGGAGAAAGCAGCGTCGTGCCCATTGTTACGGCACACAAAAGAATCTGGGGGGGGGAAAAAAAAGAACACCTCAGGTTCCACCGAGATTTGAACTCGGATCGCTGGATTCAGAGTCCAGAGTGCTAACCATTACACCATGGAACCGCTGTGGCGACTCCCCGCGCGGGCTGCCCCTTAGTTCTTCCCCAGCACCCGCCGCCCGCTCCCTCCCGCTGCCCCCGGCTGTGAGGCGAGCCCGGGGCTGCCCCTCAGCGCCCTGCCTCAACCGGGTCGAGCCGTGGCACCTCACAGCTCCCCTCACCGCCCCTTTCAAGCCGGGCGGGGCAGGGAGAAGCGGCCTGGAAGTGCTCGGGGCTGCTCCGGAAGGAGCCGGCTGTGGGAGGGCGCAGAGGCACGGAAGAGGCTGCAGGGAGGGGCCCGGCTCCCGCTGCCCGTCCCCGGCTTTCGGCGTCCTCACCATGGGCACCCGCGACGACGAGTACGATTACCTCTTCAAAGGTACCGCCCGGCACGGCCCCTGCCCCGACCGGGGGGCTCCCGCTGTGGTACCGGCGGCTGTGGGGCTGTGGGGTGCGGGGGGTGCGGGTGTGGGGCTGTGGGGCTGTGGCCTGAGGAAAACAGGCATCAAAAACCGCGATTCCTCGATTTTCCGTGTGGAAAATGGCGATGTTGCTAACCGCAGATCGGGCGTTTGTGGTGGCGTTGGGATCATGTCGGGAGGCACCCAGGAATTTGGTCGTCTTGAGGCGTTGGCGGAGGCCGTGCTGGTCGCGAATGTAGTCACGTCACACAACTTCTTTTACACACCTATGGGCAAATTATCAAAAATATTGCGTCATATATGCTAGAATGGTAGAATATCCCGAGTTGGTGGGCGCCCACGAGGATCATGGAGCCCAGCGCCTGGCTCCACACAGGCCTACCCAAAAATTCAGGCTGCTGACTGGGAGCACAGTCCAAATGTTTCTTAAAAATAAAAAGAGAGCCTGCTGCTAACAGGGATCGTACAGAACAGCAGTGATCTTCTCGGTACCATTAAGTTCTTTTAATGGCTTTGAAGAATTACATTTTTTGCCATCTGTCTTCTCCAATTTCCATGTGGAAATTGGTGTTATTACTAACTACAGATCAGTTTTCTATACTGGTATTGGGATCAGGTCAAGAGGTACCAAGAAATGCCTCATTTCTCACCTTGCAGCGTTGGCAAAGGCCCTGCTGATCGCAAATTCAGTCACATCAAACAACTTCTTTTACAGGCCTGTGTGCAAATTATCAAAAGCACTCCATATCCTGACAGGATTGTGTAAGTTATTGTTCTAGCTGTGAGGAAATATCAGTGATGTGGAACTTTTTGGGAGAGGTGCTATCTTTTATTAGATTGCTTATGTATATAACTGTGAAATAATAAAGTTGGGATTCATTTGTATAGAAAAATTCCAAGCTAGGTTAATTGGTTGCCACCCTGAAAGGTTTTTACCATGTAGAATAGTTTATGGAAGCTGTTGGGAGCACAGAGGATGCTAGGGAAATGGTGCCATGAAGATAGGAGTGATTCAGGTTTTCCAAAGTTAAAGCAGACCGCAGGAAGTTCGTGCAGCATCTCTGAACTGGAATTCATTTGGCAGCTGAAATAACATCAGCAAACGCGGAGTTGCACAAATTGTGGAAACAGTTGTAACTGTCCAAAAGCGGAGGTTGTTTAAAACAAAGCGTCCTTGCTCTGGAATGAGCTGGGAATTGTTGTGGTATTGAGCTGTCTCGTCACCAGGCACTGTCCAAAAACACCAGTGGTAGGTTTTAAAAAAAAAAAAAAAAAGGAAAAAAAAAAAAATCCTCTTGAACGAAGAAATGAGAACTCAAGGGGAATGCTAAGCAAACGTTTGAGCCTCCTGAGGGGAAATGTAGGCAGCACAGGCGTACCCATTCTGAAGGGACATTGTGGAATTAAAAAGATGCAAAAGGGCATCTGAATAATCAGAAGAGATCTTATGGGCTCACATCCCTTTTATTGAGCTGATGTGGAACTACAACAAACGATAGATGTTCTTTCCCTATTTACCCATATTGCTCGTGGCTTTAATTTTCCTCATTTGGAGGTGAGGGCTGCTGGGCCAAAGCTTAGTGCCACCCTGATCTTTTCTGTTCCACACAGGGCTTCTCAGCACCAGTCCTGCCCCTTGGGCTGGGTGTTGGGCTGTCTGGACACCTAATCCAGTCCCAGTTCTTCTGGGTTCGTGACCTAGAGGGACATGGTGGGACTGAGTTCACCAGGGCTTTGAGGTGCTCTAAAGTAACAGGGCAGTATTCTCTGGTCCAGCTGCCTCTTACTGTCCTTGAGCTAAACTGCTGCTGGGCTGTTTGTGCAGGACCCCTGTTCTTGTCCCGTCAGCCACTGCCAACAGCGTTGTGTCTAAATCTGCTGGCGGCTGGAATCGCAGCCCCCTGTGCCCTGCACAGTTGGGTCTCGGTGCCTGTCACAAGCTGCCCCTCGCCTGACTCCATGCAATGCTTTAGTGTATGTTAATGCCTGGTAGGCCTAGCTTAAAAAAAAAAAAAAAGTTAGTAAGGTAAATTCTTCTTGTCCAGCTGTGCAGATCTTTGTATTCCCCTATACTTTTGGGGTTCAGCTGAGGGAGCAGTGCCTACTGTTCCCAGAACTGCACTTCAGGAAGCAGAAAGTCTGGAAGTCCCCTTTGTGGGACTCTTGCTCTAATTTTAATGGGAGGAAAAAATAATGGTGACGTAAAGATGTAAATTAATAATTTAACCTGGCTTACATGCAGAAACTTTTAGCTCTGTTTAATTCAAGTGGCAGACTGACTTAAAGTTGATAAGTAGTTAACAAAAGTTAACTAGTTTTCTACAGTGCTTGTAGAAAAAGTCTTCTGTGTTTTTTGTGGACAAAGCTCGAGAGGATTAGGTTTGTGTCCTGACCATCTGGAACTTTGGATTTGGGGTCAGCCTCCTCGTTTCCGAACGCAGACCTGCCTTGCAGTGACATTCAGCTGACTGTTAGAGAAACTGCTCGTTCAGCTTCCTGCTCTGTGTCAGGTTCATTCCTCCACCTTTTTCCTTTGCTGAAGGAAACTGAAGCCGGGCAGACCTGTTGGTCTGGCTTTCAGACAATGCCTTTTTTCTTTGTGCTTTGTTTATAGAAATCAGTAAAGAAAACCGTTGCATGGCAGGTACGGGTTTATGCCTGTCACTCTGCCAGATGTGGAAGCCCTTTTGTGCTCTAACAAACCCGCCTGCTTATCCCTGTTACTGCAGTCGTGCTTGGAGCATTGTGTGCAGTAAGTACAGGAGGTGAATGAGCCCTACCCCAAAGTTCTCTGGGACACGAAATGGGTGGATGAAGCAGAAGGTGCAGGTGAGGAGGACGATGGATATTAGGTATGGTCATGTTAGGTTTGTTGCCAGCTGCCCAGAAGATGTGCAATCAGGTCATCTTCTGCACGTTTCCTTTAAACCCCAATTTACGTGGGCTGGAAGAGGTGTTCAGCAGGTTCTTGTGGGTGTCATGGAAATGCGTACAGGCTCTTAATTTGTATGCTGCTTTATAGCCGAGTTCAGTGCAGATAAAAGAGTTTTCAGACATAGTAATCCCGTAGTGCTAGTCTGCATGGCTTAAATTGTGTAACGTGCCGCTTGTCTGCGGTAAAGGTTGTTTCACAATGTGAGCTGGTAGTGCTGGGATTTCTATTTTCAACCTGATGAGCTTGTCAACTACATACTTTGTGAGCTAGTTGAAATTCTCAGAAAACACTTTAATTAAATTAGAGTTTTATCAGAAATAAAAATTGAGAGTGCTGGAATGTTTGTGAAAAATTAATAAGTCTATAAATTGCTTCTCAAGCAGCTTACGAAGTGGAGTTCTTATTTTGGCCTTCTGCAGAAATAAAACTGGAATTACAGAATGAAATTCATGCAGTTGCATGGACTTCATGATGTTCTTTTTGTCCACCAAATACTTGTCTTAAACCTCTCCAGTGCTGAGTTAGCTCATTAAGTGCATTGTGTTAAGGTGCGTTGTTGCACGTGGTGAAGAGGGTGAGTAAGTCCTTCCAGTGCTGGTGTAGTGAAGAAGAAGGAATGTGCTGGTGGTGCAAAGCTGAGGGGTACAGAAGAAAGCTGGAGTGTGCTACTGGAAGACCTGCTCGATGATGAGGAAGGACAGCAGTTCCCCCAGTGAGACAGGATTCACAGTGTGAGGTTTTGTGCCTGGGGACTCACAGGAAGCGTTAATTCCAGCGCGAGATGTTTCTGTTAGGGACAGAAATATTAAAATCCTCATATGCGTCAGCAATGAGATCTCACCTAGAACGCTGGATGCAGTCCTTGCTGCTTGGGAGAGAAATTAAAGGACTTTTATGGGGGGCGTCTGCGGAAAATGGGCAGTCTGTAAGGAAACACTGGAGAGGTTGGCTCACTTAGGTGGTAGAACAAGACTGAGGAGATGTGGTTGCTTTCTCTAAATACCCAGAACAGTGTAAACACCACTGGGAGAAGAAACTAATAAGCTAATGGACAATGCTGGCACATGAACACCGCTATCAGCTGACCACTAATTTCTTCTGAAAATTAGAAGGCAATTTCTAACCATTAGGAGTGAGTTTCTGGAAGAGAAGCCCAGTAAAAGTGCATGTGCAGGAACAATTAGCTTTAAGGTGGAACTAGATACCGTCGGTTCTCTCCCAGGAACTATTTGCCTGGGATGGTCAGAGGGGGACTCAGCCACTCCTTCTGCATCGCTGTGCTGAGAATATGGGACACGGGAATACAGCAGAGTATGAAATACCAGACTGAGGTGGTTTGGTAAGAAAAGCAAAATGAAAACTAATACAATTTGGGTGACTGTTAAAGCTGTTTCAGCTCATAATTATATTCAGAGAGTGGTGTTCTCTGGACTGGCAGAAATACAGAAAGTGTGAGGAGTCCTAGCAGCCCGCTGACACTGCAAGCTGTTCCCGTGTCCGTGCTCGAGACGAGCTGCAGTGGCCCAATTAAGTAGAGGAAATAGCTGGCTTCAAGGAGGAAAGTGAAATATTTCCCCCTTTTAATTGGGACATATTAATCTGGTGCTGGAAGCCGTTCAGAACATAAGCAGCGTGGGATTCAGACAAGGTGAGGAAAAAAAAAAACTTGGTAGAGGAATTAAAAGGACCAGTCTATTTTTGAATGGCTGAGAGCTCTGCTTTGAAATATGCACTGAGCAACGAAAATACTTGAGGGTAATACTTAGCAGGCGTATGATGCAGCCTGCTGGGAGAAACGAGATGATGTGTGTGGATTGCTTTCTTCGTGTAGAGAAGCTTTCAGCCCCTGGCACAGCTAACAGGGGTGACCGTGGGACTGAGCGACTCGAGCCTCCCAGGAACTTGCTGCTCGTAACGCGTCCCAGCGACTGCAAACGTGATGTCATCTAAAACCTGAACCTGCCACAGGAGTTCTGAAGATCTTGTTTGCTGGCGAAAGAGGGAAAACTGTGGCAGCTTGCCAGGCGGTGATGATATAATTGGGTGTCTCGTCCCCTGCATGAAGTTTATTACCGCCTGGCATCCTCTGTGCCAGCAAAGCTGTTTGCTGCCACCAAACTGTGCTGACCTGTCCTTTAGGAGAGTGGAGTCTTACTTGCATTCGGTCCAGGTGCGTGCCACCTACCTGCCTGTGATCCTCGTAAACAGAAGTGGTTAACAGGGCCGCTGTGCTTTGTGTAGCTTCTGTAGCTTGGCTGGCTGCTTGCTGAGTCAGCTGGCAGGGGAAGCTGGGAAGATGTTTGTTTTGATGAGGTATTCTCTAAAAGACTATTTGAAGCTAGCGTTTGCTGCAGTTTTCATTTGATGGAGGGGGGGTTTTTAAAAGGTGCTTCTCGGCTCTTACAGTCAGGGAAAATCCCATTTGTCAGAGCTGTTGTGCATTATTTAAATAGAAGGTGGTGTCTGCTGTGTGATGCAGCAAAAGATGCGAGGGTTTGTGCTGCTAGACTGAGACTCACTCCTCACATCAGTGGACTCATTCCTCTGTTGTATCACACAGCATATTTAACACTGTGTTGCAAGTTTAAATGATGTATGTTACTGAGCAAGTGTTTGTTTTCTCAAAACAAGCACCTCCATGCTCTTTTTTTGTCACCCAAGTGTCGACTGTTTTGCTTGTGCTCGCCTGGTGCACTGCAGAGCACAAAGGTTATCAGCCTTGCTTCTCGAGGGTCTTACTCATCCTCTTTGTCCTCTGTTTCCTTCTGTTATCTGCTCAGTACCTTATCTGAAGGTCACCCAGAGGAGCTGCTGCTGGTGTGACTCAGGGTGGGACACAGCTCAGGCCTGGCTGAAATTCCTGCGTCTTGGTAGCGGGTTTCAGGTTGGGCTCAAGCTCGTCCCTTCCAGCTCAGCACCATGGGAGGGGTGCGAGGAATCCTCGTGATGCTTTTCTTCCTGTCCCAACTGGACTTTACACCTTCTGTCAACCTCTCGTCAAGCATGGCTGCATCCTTCCTCTTAGTTCACTCAGCACTGTGATGAGTCAAGGCCAGCTGGGAAGGGACTTTTGTACTTTTTTTGACTGCCATGTGTAGTTCTCCTGGAGGAGGTATATGATTCAATGCAAAGGAGATTGAAATGTAACTACTAAAAGTCAAGTCTGAAGTCTGTTCAGCATGCTGGTGAATGTGGCAGCTCTGGTTCTCTGGAAATCTCAGGGCTTGGACAATAGACCTGTGACAAGAGGGGTGGCTTTGCTATTCTTCTTCCTTCTTTCTTTGTTCTGGAAAATGAATGTGCTCATTGTAGGTGATTGTCAATAGATGGTGTACACCTGGAATCTAATTCTGATGTCATTTCTTTCTTGTAGTTGTGCTCATTGGAGACTCTGGAGTAGGCAAGAGTAACCTCCTGTCTCGATTCACTCGCAATGAGTTTAACTTGGAGAGCAAAAGCACCATTGGAGTAGAGTTTGCAACAAGAAGCATTCAAGTTGATGGGAAGACGATCAAGGCTCAGATATGGGACACAGCAGGGCAGGAGCGATACCGCGCTATAACATCCGCGTAAGTGGCAGCCTGTGCAGCTGAAGAGAAGCTGTTGCTCAGAAGGGTCGACATTAGGCCCTTCTAATTCCTCAAACACGTACAAATGTTTTTATTTTGTCATGTAATATCCTCAACGTGTGGGGGAAGGAAGCTCGAATATTTTTCTGTCCAGAAGTAGGGCTCTGCACAAAGCTGATCTACCTCTCAGTGCTGCACTGATAGGTTACTGGGGGCATTTTGAATCTCTGAAAGCATTCTAGGTTAATTTAAATGCAAGCCATTGATAAAGTAACAGCTGTAATTGTGGAGGTTTTATCAGTGGTAACCTATGACCAGACATACTGCTCGCTTTACGTGCTTATTTAATTGAAAAAACAGCATAGCAAAAGCTGGATTTAAGTAAAGCTGAAGGTAATTGTGGGATGGGAGAACACAACCTGCTTCTTTTCTGTGTAACTGCCTCTCTGGTCTGAAAGCGGACCAGCTGGGGCCATTCATAAAGGGACTAGATCAGGCTGATATTTTTATGATCCTGTGAGTCACTCTTAAGTCTTCCTGTCGCCCTGGGCTGTGCCCGTACTGCACCCACAATGGTGGGTGGGGAAGACTTTTCCAGGAGTGGGTCAGAGGCTGAAGGTGACAGGAGCTCCTTGCAGAACCCAGGGCTTAATTTTGGGGTGCAGGGTTCCCCCCAGAAGCATGGGGTGCAGGGTTCCCCACCAGACTCTGAGCTGTCCTGGCTGCTCAGGTGGTTCTGTGGCATACCCTAATCAGGATGCTTTACTTCCACTGCTTCAAGTCCCACGTATCATGCTTAGATATTTTTTATATAGCTGTCTGTGCAGTAAGGGGTGTAGCTATTATTAACTTGTCACTTTTAATCATGATGTTCTTTGCAGGTTCTCTAATGCATCTCTTTGCCCGCAGGTACTATCGAGGTGCTGTAGGGGCCTTACTGGTGTACGACATCGCGAAGCACCTCACCTATGAGAACGTGGAGCGATGGCTGAAGGAGCTGAGAGACCACGCTGACAGCAATATTGTGATCATGCTGGTGGGAAACAAGAGTGACTTGCGCCACCTGAGAGCAGTCCCTACAGATGAAGCCAGAGCTTTTGCAGGTTGGTGAAATCAAAATAAATTTCTGGGTGAGTGAGGATGTCTGCCTGCAGGTAGACATGTATTCCCCCGATACAGCTAGCCCTGCTAAATAAGCTGCCACAACATACTGGGAGGTGGAGTAATTTGACGAGGTTAAAACAAGATCCAGGAAGTTTCCCTGCATATTTCTTGAAGGTGCACTAAATTCTCACTTCCAGTGATGCATCAGGATATGCCTAAAAGCAGTGCAGCACTCATCCCTGTGCCTGAGGCTGAGTGTAAATTGTTGTTGCTGTTGGGTGGCGCTGCTCTCATACCACGTAAGGGGAAAACACCACAACTTTTACTTTTTTTGGTATCCGTGCATCTCATCAGCAGCACCACACACATTGGCTTGTACAGAAGTTCTTCCAGATGGGAGATAAATGTTCTGCACTCCTCTAATTATAATGTTTCTGTCCACACAGAGAAGAATGGTTTGTCATTTATTGAGACATCTGCTTTAGACTCTACAAATGTGGAAGCAGCTTTCCAGACTATTCTGACAGGTGAGTCATCCATTGCTTTCTGTTTTGAGGAGGAAGGGCAGGACACTGCTCAGATATGATAAAATAGGCAGTTCTTTGCCTATAAAATGTTTAAAATTGTATTTAATCGCCCTTCACAACCATTACGTTTGGAATCCATTTGGTCCTTCCTTTGAGCAGCACTGCTCATCTGTGACTCCTGAGCACAGGATAGTCACTGTCACTGCCTTTAATGGTCCTGGCTGGACTTTCGACCTTTGTAGTATGCAGTGGCAGTGAGTGCTACAGTCTTTATGCTCTGTGGATCAAGTACTTCCTTTTTCTTTAAACCCTCTATTTGATAGGCAAAACATCTCCCTTCTGTGGCATTGGCACCTGGTTGTGTTGTAGTTTTGTTCATGTAGTTAGATTAGTGGTTTTTTTTCATTTTGGCAGGTAATTGAGACTTTTGAAAACGTACCATAACGAATTAGTTAGCTATAATGGAACATGCAGGGGAGGAGGCAGCTAGGAAGTTACTGCTGTAATAAAAATACAAAGCATTTTTTCTGAGTTGTCTGAAATTCTTTAGCAGTGATGAGAGAGAATTCATAGGCAGTTGGAGTATTTCCTGCTACATGCTTTCTTCCTGTATCCATCTGTGTTTTTTTTCCCTACCCTTAATTGTAATAGGGTTCTGGTTCTTTTCTGTTTTTACAGTGGGTTCCTAAACAGTGGTGTTCCTGGCTATATACTAACAAAAAATGTAAATGTGTCAATGTCAGACAGACAAACAGTGCATAGGGATGTGTCATCTCACTGCTTTCACGCCGTGGTGGGATTAGAGCTTGAGTTAGTTTCCTCTTTAGCCAACCCATGTGGTTCCCTTTTAACTTCAGTCTAATCATTCGGTTGTAATTCAACTTTGCACAATTTCTGAAAAAAGAGCAGTTATGTTTATACATTTACTTCCTCATGACTCAGTAATGATGCCGTAAGAGGGTGGGCGACAAAGGAGTGGCTGAATGTGATGCCTGATGGTTTTACTGTTTTATTCCTCTATGTAAAGTCAATTGTGTCAAAATTGCTTGTGAATTCAGGCATGGATATTTCAGGAGAAGCACATCTTTACTGCTTGCTTGTAACTGCTAAAACCCCAAACTTCTTTCTTTAAGCGTATCCTTGTTACTCCCTCTCCTCTCAGGGGCACCTACACTGAACTGTGAGGTCAGGTTCTGGCTAAACGTGCTGTGTGTAGTATAGAGCAGCCTCGCTGCCTGCTCTTAGAGCTTTCAGGGGGGATCAGGGCTCTTGGGTAAAGATTAGTTATTTAACTTTCATGCCTGTTCAGCACCAGCACTAATAAAAACAAATCTGGAAATACATCAGACATTTATCCCCTCCCAAGGTGGCTGTCAGGCTGTCATACGCAATATAAACTGATCATCCAGCTGCCCCCGGTCTCCTCGTGGACTGCTCTGTTCCCTAACAGCGATGGCTGAAGAAGAGGGAAGTTTGCTGCATGCCCTGGGCTGCTGCCTTGTTTCTGCAGAACTGTGTGACACTCAGATATGACATACTGCTGTTGCCATGGGGAAGCAGTTTACCTCTTGGGCACAGGCTAGGCTGTTTCTTTATCTCTCCTCACATGCTTCCAATGGCACCTTTTATTCCAGAAGTTATTTTGGATTCTAATTAGCCAAGGTTTGATTTTTTTTCTGGTTTAATTTTTCTGTAAGGGAGAGCAGGCTGTAATGGGAGAGCAAGGGATTAAAACTAGACCTCAGCGGACTCTGACAGATTGTTGGAGCTGTTGCTTTTCCACAAACGTCAGTGCTCCCTGCGTGTTGCTGTGACAGCGTTTTGGGGAAAGAGCTCTTGGGCATGCGGACAGAATCCTTGTTCAGGAGGGGCTGGTTCAACTGTGCTGGAAGAAATGCTTCTGCTGATTAGTGGGCATGTGGCTCACTCCAGACACCAGCTCCTGTTTCAGGGAGATAAAGATGAAGTAAATAATGCATTAGCAGCAGGTTGCCTCCATCTCTGCTGTGACTGGCATGCAAAGGACGAATGTTCTGCCAGTAAACTTCTCGATAACACTTCACAGCTGGCTTTTTCTGTTAATGATTTGCTTTGAAGGAAAGAGGGGAGCAGTCATCCGAGGAATGTGGTTTTCAGAGTGACCCTGCAGAATCATGGATAGCCTGTCTGTGTTTGGCAAGGTTGCCTCTAAGCGTAGTGCTGGAGGGTGGAATGCTCTCCTTTGAAGAAGGAAGTTGATAAAGCCAGCAGGCTTTGCCACAGGCTGCAAGTGGAGGAGGTTGACAGAAGAAGGGGCAGGGCATGCTGCTGTACCAGCTCTGCTAGTACTTGCTCTGCTGGGAACAGCACCGCAGAGACATCCTAGGCTGCTCGTGATGCCTTTCACACAGCTCTTACATCTTTCCCGGACAGGGTGGTGTGATTGGGGTCTGTAGTGAAACTCCTTTCTTCTCCAGCCCTAGTGAAGCTGGTCTGGTTGGGACACTGAAGGAAACTTGTTAGAGTCCTTCCCCTGGAGGTGTAGCAGGTCCCTGTTAAGCATATTCATGCCTAGATTCTCACATGAAGCCACCTTGAATAGATGGTTCTGGGTGCAGGAAACATGAATCCATCATAATTAGCACAGCCTGAGTGAGTGTGGTCTCCTGCTACGGGTGGAAGCAGGGGAAGAAAGCTTTTTTTTCCTCTCACTGTGTTATAAGGGATTCTTGGCAGGTGGTGTATCTGTTGAGACAGGAAGCCCGCTAGATTTGTGCATACCATGTGAGGTTTTGGGGACCTTTTCCTCTGTGGCTTAGGGTAATGGTCCCTGTCCAAGTTCCACTCTTGTGAGATGTCTAGACTTCAGGGGCTGATTCCTGTGTGCACAAAGCTGCTTTGTATTATCTGGCAAACGAGAGAGACTGGTGTTATAATCCCATCCCCTCTGAGCATTCACAGCAGGATAAAGCATCCTTAAAGTAAACCCGAGGCAGCCTCCGCTCCCTGCCTCGCTCAGTGCTGCCTCTGTTCCCACAGCGCGTTCTGCCGTGGTTTCATCTCGAAGGAATCCCATCTCCAAGGAAACACCATCACAGAGTGTTAACAGTAAGAAATGTAGGGATTTCCTCTCGTTAGCTCTGTACACCTGAAAATGAATGAAGCACTAGGGCTGCTTGAGGAGCCAAGGACTGGGCAAGCTCCTCCTAGACAGCGGTGCCTTTTTTTCCCCAGCTCTTACACCACAAGGCCTGTCTCACATGGTTACCAATTATGCAGTGATGCATTCTGCCGAATGTGCTCTTAATAAGGTCTCATTCAGTTACTGAGCAGAGCATAAAGTGTAGTGTCTTCATTAAAAAGTGCACGTCTTCATTAGCCTGGCGTTCCTTGGTGCAGACCAGTTTGAGTGGAGGCTTTGCCTCTGGGCATTTTGCCCCAGGAAGAGCAGGTTGAAGCTGTTCCCACCTCCTCTATCACACCAACACAACTATGTGTGGTGAAAGAGTGTGCGGCTGAGCCAGGGCAAGGCAGTATTTAGCCGTTCAGGCTTTCATCTAGGGCAGCACGCTGTGTCTGCACAAAGGTTTGTAACCACAGAGGAGGGAGAGGTGGCAGTGAGCAACAAAAATAAATGGGGCTGCTTCGAGTTGATTTGAGCAGCGCTGCTGCTAAACGTCCTTGCAGGGCTGTCAGGGAGTGGGGATCAGCTGGAAATACATTCCCACAGTCAGAAGGAATGGACGCTCTATCAGCAGAGAAATCAGTGCTGTTAAGATTATTTTTAAGACTTCAGTGAGCAGCCCTGTAGATCTTTGCTTCGAGATGAGGGTATTACGCAGAGGACACCCTGGTGGCAAGTCATTGCTCACAGGGGTGGAGGAAGCGTGTGACAGCTCATGTTAGGGACTGGTATGAACTTGTTTAGGAAGTTCTGTGGAAAACAGAACTGCTGCTGCTGAACGTGCTACTAGAGAGCTTCCAGTAACACAGGCAGCAAAACCCTCCTGCTGTTGAATAGGAACAGGCAGTGCTTAGCTGGGGGTCAGCTGGCTGCTCACCCTGAGCTGGGGCAGTGAAGTGGAGCAGAAACCTTGCAGAAAGCAGAGCAGATCTCCTCCAGCTGTGCTCCCTCCACCACCATGTACCTGCCCCAGGGTCAGCCTGTGAAGGTGCTCACGTGGAAGACTGTTGGAAAGAACAGTGGGCATCAGGAAGGGTGACATCAGAAAATCCTCTTGTATGTTTGCAGCTCTTGTTGGGTTGATCTGTGACCTGAATGCTGTCCTGTTCTGAGTCCGAGCTGCCTCTTTGGAGGCCCAAGCAGCAGATTGTTCTCTCACAGCACCACCTGCAAAGATTATAGCTCCTCGCACAGCCCGTAGATACAGTGCAGGCTCTGTGTGAGAAATTACTTCGTGGTGAGCAGCTGCATGGATGTGTGCAGCCTTGCTCTTAGTCTTCCTGGGGAGCACTCAGCCTGTTTGTAACAGCAGCTTAAATCAGGGTTTGTTGCATCAAGGGTAAGGTTTGCAAGCCTTGTACGTCAGGAACCCTTTTTAGCTCCTTAGTGCCACCAGGTCTCGTTGCCATCCAGGCAAGCAAGTAGCTTGTGACCAGCCCTTGGCAGCATGGATGACTTCTCTGCATGAGATTGCTCAATTTCCAGTACTGAAATGATGTCAGGATGTGCACTAAGCAGCAGCTCATTAAAATTCGGAACAAAGGCAACTCACTAATGATGAATTTCTGGTGGGAAAGAAGCTTTTCTTGGTCTGAGGCCAGACAAGGTGCTGGGGACATCGTTACCCGGCTGATGAAGGACCTCAGACCTCTGAATGAACTCGAACCTTTGCCGTGTTTCACCAGTTATTTGTGAGCAGTGCCCCTGCAGCAGGGATGGAGTGCAGGCACCCTCTTCAGCGACCTGAGCTTATCTGGAGTGTCCCAGCAGGGCAGGGAGCTGCAGCATGCAGACAGGGTGTGGGCATCAGCCCCGCTCTCTGGGCTCAGCCTCTTGGCGCTGCTGCTGTCCCCTGCCAGCACGCCGTTCTCTTGGGCTCCTCTGATGTTGTCACTTCAGGGTAGGCTTTTTTTTTCCTGAAACTGAAACACTTAACTTTTTTGTTAAACTGAGGTTTAACAAGCTTTTTTTTTTTTTAATGGTTTAGAACTTGAATTTGCAAGTGAGTTCCCCATGCTCTATTTCTGGTGTGCTTTATTTCCTTTCTGAGGTGAAGTGCTTGCACCTCATACTTTCATACGCAGCTGAAGCGAGTGGTTTTGTGTCTACTCTGAGTTTATGTTCAACACACACCATCGGCCACTAACTAATCCCAGGAAACTGGGCAAGGCTTTCAGTGCAGGTGTGGACTTGGCAGCGTGTTAGGTTAAACTTCTGTGCCTCTCCTGCGCTCTCTAATTTGTGCTGGGATTTCTTTGGACTCCATATTTCTCCTCTGCAGTTCCAAAGCTGGCCTGCTCTAACACAGTCTCCTCAGAGCCTTAAGAATGATGACAAGGAATTGATGGCATAGCTTCTGATTCTTAGTAAATATACAGAATCCACCAATTTTTTTTTTTTTCGTTTTTATGTAAAGGGGAATAAAGCAGTTATAAAAGAAGTAATTTGTTTCACAAAGATATTTTAACTTATGAATACAGAAGATATAATGAACATCTTGTGGAAGCTGCCTTGCATTACCTATATAGTCCCAAAAGTATGGGGAATCTTTGCTCTGTTTGATGCTTGGTTTCCCCAGACATGAACTTTCTGGTGCTGTTTTGCATATGCGTAATGACGAGCTCTTTCTCATCTTCCAGAGATCTATCGTATTGTTTCCCAGAAGCAAATGTCCGACAGACGTGAAAATGATATGTCTCCAAGCAACAATGTGGTTCCCATTCATGTCCCTCCAACCACTGAAAACAAACCAAAGATGCAGTGCTGTCAGAATATATAAGAAATGTTCATTCTTTCCTAAAAGGCTGTGTATATTCCCCAGGTCCAAGATTTAAATATATTTGTAATTCTTGTGGTTACTTTCTCGTGTTCAGTTACTGCTTACTTCTGAATTTCTCCATGTCTTAACCACTTTGATTTCGTTGTTTATAAATCTCTTGCTTCTACGTGGCTGCAGTATTTTCCCAACTCCGACTTGTCGGTTTTGGTTCAGTACGTTGTTTGGAACCGAACTGATCTCTTTCCAATGTGATGCCTGCTAGACAGAGCGCAGACACATTTAGTGAGCACTTGAAGATGTTATTCTGCTCCTCGCAAAACAATTAGTGTCAGGATACCTAGGAAAATATCTCTGGGCAGGAGATCTTTCCTTGTCTTAAGGTGTTGTATACTGCATCTAAAGCTTGATGAAATGCCTGTTGCTCTGAAGTGCAATTTTAATGTAAAGCTAAATGTTTTTGGCTACATCTTCAGATTGTCAAGTTGAGGATTTTCTATAGAATATTATGGGGGGGAAGAGAATTTCTTGCAAACAAGCAGCAGGGTTCTTGCTACCTGTGAATGAGCTTTTGTGGTTTGGCACCCGCTGCAAAGGAGGCTGTGGTGTGAGGCAGAGCTGCTGGAGGCTGGCCGGGGAGAGGCTGGTGGGACTCCGTGTGAGGTGCCTCCGGTGAAGTAAGGAAAAGCACGAGCTAAAGCACGAGCTGTGTGGCTGGCTGAGGGTCGCTCTAACACTGGAACCTGCAGTGTGATTTTGTGTTGCCTGAGACTTGGCCTCCACAGTGCCAGTGGTATCAGGATTTGAGGATGCCTTTTTCCTTTCATGGCACACAGACTTGAAGGGTGTTGTCACACTGCATATCACATAGATTAGTACATGCCACACATGTTAATATATTCAAATGCTAGAGTTGATGAATCAGTAACTTCTACAACCTGGTCTTAGTTTTCAGTTCTGTTTCATCCAGTATTTTTCAATGATTCCAATGGCTTGGTACATGATCTTTAACAAAAAAACATCTGGAGTATTTCCCATTGGATGCATTCATTCTGTAGTCTGCTCAGTACAAATCATCCGTTCAATTAGCTTGTTCAGGGATACATGAACTGTGCCTTCTGTCGCTACACTCTGAAACCACTGCGTATTACACAGGCTGTGCTATTCCCAAACATGCCATTAATATTAAGATTTGGGGGCTTTTGGCACTGGATTTCTACTGGATTTAAGAGCTGTTTGTTGTATAAATGCCTGCAGTTGTTTATACAATGACGGGAAGCTAATTGTAGGGGCCGTTTCTCAAACTCTGATATGACCCACTTGGAACATCCAAATTTGGGTAGGCACTACCAGCTGCATTTCTTACCCAACCTTTCTGTCTTGCGGTGCTCATGATGTGTAAGGCACACGGAAGGCATTGCTGTAGTCGGTCACTCGTTTTATTTAATCCATTTCTCCTCCTGGTATTAGTTCTGAAGATGCTCTTTTGATCTGTTTGTAAATTACTTTGTATTTTATGCATGTACTGTAACTTGATTCATTATTTTTTTAGATTGATTTAAAATATATTCATCCATGATTCTAATAAAGAATTACAGGGGACGACTCAGTACAGTGTTGGGTGCGCTTTTTGGGAGACCTGGGGTTTGACCTGAAGGGCTTTACATACTGGAATCTCGTAAGCTTCTTGGAACAGCCTATGAGAAGACACCGAAGCAGAAGTGCTCCCAGAAAAGGACCTGTAAGAGCCATGTACCACGTGTAACACATTTACTTTTGCTCAAAGCAGGCCTGTGGTTTTGGGGGGCTGATATAGCTCATCTGTGCACGGTGCCCCCGCAGCCCTGGGGGGAAGTTGCCTGCAGAGTGCGTGGCAGCGCTGGTGGCTCGGCTGGAGTGGGGTGCCTGAAACAGCCTGAAATTTGGGGGTCTTTTTCGTATTTATCACAGGAGTCTGAGCTGGAGGTGTAAGATGGGGCCTCTGCTCGCTGTGGGAGCTGTTCTCAGAGTACTTTCTTTGGCCAGACAGGAGGGTGTTTTGGAATTAAGCAAATTACCAGGGCAGCCAGCTTCTAAATTTGTCAACTGGAAATGCAGGGTGAGGTTCACTTCGCTCCCCTTTCCCATTCACTTCGTCGGACAGCCTGACTCAGGCGTGGATTTTGCATGGCTTTACGCGCGGCGCATCCTCCTGCGGTAAACGCGAGCACAGTGGAGCCTGGAGGAGCATGGACCCCAGCTGCAGGCCCCTGCCCCACGCGGTGTCGCTGTGCGTGCTCGTGCTTCCTCGCCTCGGGACAGCCCGTGCTGCGTTCAAGTCCTGAAGCTGTGATGTGGCTGGACGTGCTGATAGACCAAGTAAGAACTCTTCTTTATTGTCATTAAAACTTTACAATTAGAAATCTGTAGAAATGCCTTGCAAAAACTGGTTCTGTAATTGCAAACTGCTGCAACGTGGAATTCAGAGTTTTCATTCAATTGTTCGTAAAGCCTTCCTAAACAATATATTGACTTCTAAAGTATAATCAAATTGAGCACGTACTCAGATGCAGCTCCTTACCTAGTAAAGCCTTTGTGTTTGGGCAGACAGGGCAAGGCGCTGCTCCGTCTGGACACTGACCTGCCAGGCATTGCTCCTGCTAAGCTGCTGGTTAATCATCTCCGCTGTAATTGGCATTACTTACGTACTGAAGTGTCTCTTCTCTGCTAATAGGAGGCGACTGATTTTAATATTGCTTTTGGGCACTGAAATGAGCTTTCTGAGTTTCTGGGAGCTGTGCGTAATGGTGCAAAATTGGCTTTACTTGCCAAGAGCTTTTACTCTCATTTACATATTTGAAAGCCCCAGCCTTACCTGTCCTGAAGCTGCTTGGTGAGTGTCGGTGGCTCCTGCGTGATGGGAGCTGAGGCTCTGACTCTTAAGCAGAACGGACATGGAATTGTTCTGATTTAAAGACATTTTTATTAAACTAGAATTACTTTTTCTATCAGTTCAAACCTGATGAGTTTCCAGACTTTAATAGCTTATTGAGTGTGGCTTGTCAGGTAAGAGGATTACATGCTGGGCTTTAGTTAACAAGATTTTTAGAAATATGAAGCGCAAATATTGAAAAAGCTTCAACGTGTAGCGGTCTGCTGCATTGCCTCGGAGTCATCAGCTCTGAAGGTGTTTCAGCTGCAAATCCATGCTCATGGTTTATTGATCAGGCTCGGCGGGAGCAGCCGGGTGCTGAGGTGGCTGCAGCGTGCCCGGTCTCATCGCTGCCGGCTGCAGCAGGGTCATTGCTGGCCGGTGTCCTCCTGTGCCCATCCTACTGCTGTCACTGAGCGCTGAGACGCGTTGTGGGGAGACCTGCAGCTGGCACTCGCCTCGCCGGAGATGTGTGAGCTCTGCATCACCCCGGTGTCACTCAGACCTGCTATGGTTAACCCCTGGAAGCAGCCCTACCAGAATTGTGAGAAGATGCCTGCTTTTCCGGCTATTTTCTTTTTAAAGCTGAGCCTTACTCAAAATGACTTCAAAGCTGCAGTCCAAATTACACCATGGGGCTTTCTGAGAAGTCCTGCAACAGAGCAACCAGCCTCTGGCGTGGAAGGCTGATGCCTCTGGGGCTTTCCCTGCAGGAGTGGACAGCCCCTTGCAGCACTAGTGTGTGGAGAACATGGGCCTGAGCATGGGTTGGAAGTTTTGGTCTGCAAAATGAGCACATTTGAGAAATGCACATTTGAGAGAAATTCAATTTATTTTGTACAAGGTAGAATACCTTCGCACAGTGAACAAATATATTACAAATCTGTCTTGCCTTAAAAAAGTATTGCCATTTTGGTGCCTATTTTCTAAGCTAATGCTAATATACAAGAAGGTACTTGCTTTGTTGTTGTTTTTGTTGTTTTCTTTCTCCTATGAAGCTCTATGCACATTGTTGCATTTGGTTTGAAACTCCAGCTTTGAAAAAAAACAAACACATCTGAGCCCATCTCTGCTCTCTCATCCCAAACTTTACAGCAACACACACACAGACATTGGTCAGGCTGGCAGCTGAGACTGTTTGTGCTCGATGTCACGGTAGGTCTCTAACCAGAGGATTCCTTATCAAACTGCCTTTCCCTTGCTATTTTTGAGGTAAGTCTTTCCATATACGTATGCAAAATATATCCCTACTGGCTCTACAAAATAATTGTCTAGTTACATCTCAAATAAGGCTTTCCTGGAAAATAAAATTGCTATTGCTGATCAGTCATCGCCCCCATGCACACATGCAGCATTCATGTAAATACTGAAAATCTGCTGCTCTGCAAGCCTGGGGGGATCTCTGGGCTCAGCTCAGCTGTCTCGCTGCCAAGCTCCTGCTTTGCACAGAGGGGTTCAGAGCCAACCCGACCACCCCACGGCGTCCCAGCTCCTGCAGCAGAGCATTGCCAGGGCTCCTGCACCCTGAGATGAGCATCCAGGGGCACTGTGTGGGCTCAGCACCACCCGGCCTGGGGCACTCCCAGTGATCCGTGGCCCCGTTGGACTTAGAGCTGAGTTGCAGCCACTGCCTCTGAGCTGGGAGGCTCCTCGGAGAGTCCCCTGCAGCAGCAGCTACGCGAGCGATCATGCTTTGAGCAAACTGCTTGGTGTTGGTTTCATTCTCTTCTGCTTCCATCAGACTGGTGAATGTGCAACAGAATTTTTTTTTTTTTTTTATATTTCAGAGGCAATCATCTTGCTACTTCCACGTTTGCCTAATAAAATTACATACTTAGAATCAATACTACTTCATGCTCAAAATCTACAAGGAACTGCTTAACGGCAAGTATTCTACTTTCTAGGTCAATAAGGATCACACACACAAAAAATAAAATAAAAAAAATCATTGTGGCTTAGTCCAAAGCTTTACCATAAGTCAACCCCGTGATAATTATTCCACAAACAGCTGCTGAAAAAGAAAACTCAGTTTCAGCTCAATTTAATGATGTTTCAGGTAGAATCATCAACAAATAAAATTGCACTACATGGTAATGCACATCAAATTAAAGGGTGTCATAAATGGCATGCTGTCAGGTGAATCACAATGGGGTGGTTTGTAAAGATGGCCTAGAGAAGCCGACGTGTCCTAGCATTAGGAAAGGAAACCAAACCAGGGGTTAGCCTGTGCAAACCTGCAGTGTCCCAGGGAAGTAAATGGAGGTGCAGCAATTTAGGCTGCCTGACAAAGCTAGTGCATTTATCTAAGAAAACTGAAGCTGTATAAGGAGAATTAAAGCATCACTGTACCGGTCAAAGTATGTGTAGCTTGTTAAAAGTGTGGTAAGCTGGGTATGAGATTCTTTGTTTAAACTGAAGACATCGACTGGACATTGTTACCTTTTAAAACCTGCACAGGATGTAGGTTTCCTCTACTCAAATAGCCTGGTACTGAATGTAAAGATGAACATTTCAGCGCTAAGGTCCAAGCATGAGCTGCGCAGGATGTGTATGGTGATGGCAGTAAATGAGGTTTCCAGACAGTGAAATGAGAAGCTTCCCTGCTTTCGTTCGGAACAATGTCCATTTCCATGACAAAGATGTAAAATATATCTCAGCGTATTCCTAGCCACCTTGTTCCTAACAGTACAAGTTCTTTTTTTTTTTTTTATACAGCTGGTAGAAATGTACGTCTCTTAAGTCCTTCTACTTAGCGTGTTTTTGTGTTGTATTTTACAGCAAAGCCAGGGGTAGAATACACACCATGGAGAGCCTTTGCCTGGAGCATGTGAACACTTTCCTGGCATGACGTGCTCCAGTGACACCTGGAGAAGGTACTCATTAGTTCCTGTGACCCATATAAAAAAATGTTTTTTTAAATAACATCATGCAGCAGCAGCTGGCCCAAGCTGATGTTTTGTTACGTTAGGTCCTTGCGTAAGTCTGCAGTCACGTCAGCATCCTGCAGCACAGAAAAGGATTGTCTTCTCTTTTGCTTCCTCAAAGTTTGTGTTACAGCACAGTGAAGTCCATCCCTTTAAGACTGCTTGTCCCAAGATGGCCCGTGCGTCGGGCTGTGCCTCACGGGGAGGAGGTCGTAGTGACTAGGAATGTGACTGTTCCTAGGCAGGTCGTATGGGTTTTGGAGGTAACTGGCACTCCGGCTACGGGCGTCTTGGACCACGCTGACGGTGGGCTCTGGGAAAGCAAGGAAAAATGTGTTATGGCACCCAGCAGCACTCCTAGGGCTGTAATTACTCTACTCATGCGTTTTGGAACAAGCACAGAACAGCAGCTTCCCAAACCCTTTGTTCCCCTTGCAGCTTTATGGACATCGCATGGGAGAGACCAAACAGCTCCAAGGCTGGGAGTTCCCAAAGTCCCACAAACAACGTCTTCCAAAGTCCAATACTTCCTGCAAAATTGTGCAACTGGACTTTGCAGCAGTTTAAAATGAAAACAGGAGCAGGGGGCTGAAGCCCTTCACTGCTGGGGCTGGAGGAGCTCTCTGGTGTGGTCCCACACTCACGTCCACGGTCACAGCACAGGTCCCTGCCAACACTGTGCTCCCCAAATCAACTCGATAATGCACCCCCAAGCCAGTGCCTCCCTGCACCATGCCAAGTCCACACCACTTGTCTCAGGAAAGGAAAAAAAATCGTCTGCAGTAAAACCACCAAGGGTTGGAATGAACAGCTCAGAGCTGAGCACCTTGCTGCTGCTGCCACGCAGCGCCCCCCACTTACCAACTTCGTAGATGTTTTTGTTGGCTGTGGACGAAGTGGGCATTTCTGAATATGGGGATTCCCTGTGACCAGGCGATTTCATTTCCACGTAGCTGCTCTCGGAGTGTTTGCATGTTAAAATGGGGGGGTCTTTAATGGTGGCGTATGGGTTTTCACTGCTGTTCAGAGAACAAGTGCTGGAGCTGCACACAGACTCCTTCATGTAGTCTGCAAAACAAGACGGGGTGGGACTGTTAGCTTTCCTCGGAGGGTCACAGCTCAACCTCTGCAGGAGGGGCAGGGTGGGGAGAAGGGGCAGGGGTGAGGAAGATCCTTGAAGCATCCAGCACAGACACCCGACGCTTGTGCTCTGGGGTGTCCAAACCACTGCATCCACAAGTCTCTTAGCAGGAAAGCAACAGAAACCTGCTCGAAACCAAAGGTTTTGCCGTGAAAGGTTCTAGTTGCCATTTACTGCAGTACTTAACTTTCGGTGGCCATCATTTCCCTCCCTCCCCCGGTTCCTGAGGAGCTGCGCTGCCGACCCACAGCCCGACGCAGGTGGCAGCATCTGCTGGGCCTGGCTGGGCCAGCCTGGGGGGGACAGGGGGCTTTGGGCAGCACCGAATGCCCTATGTTTGAGAGCAAAACATTTCCAGCAGGTGTAGAACTGCAGCAGTGCAGCGTGTGCGCTCTGTCCCCTGAAAGCTCCCGTTCCTGGGGCTCGCCAGCACGAGGAGAAACCGATTTCTTTGTGTTCCCTTCTGCCATTAGGACTGGGAGGAGGCTGCTCCTGCTAACGGGGAACACTTGGGTTTCCGCAGCGGGGACAAGCCTCCAGCTGAGCCTTGTTTTTGATTTGCTTTTCCCCAGTGCTGTGGGCATCTACTGCTCCTCTCCCCTAGGCTGGGAAACAGGAGAAGGAGACGGAGGAGGCGCTACGTGGGGAGAACAAGTGGGCAGAGAGTGGCAGCCACCGGTGTCCCCCGGCGGTGACCCTGGCTGGAGAATGCCAGCCTGCTGCTGGGTCCAGGGCCAGGCTTGCTTTAAACAATAATAATAAAAACAATAGAGAATAAATAAGTCTTAACATTGACATTCAAGAACGTGCCATTGCTGCTGTGTGCATCCTGCTGGGCAGTGCCATTAATTTAGAATTAGAGCGATGCAATGAAAGATGAGGCATTTTCTTGTGCTGGGTTACAGTACAAAGGCAGATCCTGGTATATATGAAATACTCCCGGTGACATAGCGGGACTTGCAAAATAGCTGCAATCCCAGCTGCCCCCGCTATCTAGTATGGGAGACAAAAAGAGAAATTCAGGTTAAGAAATAGACAGACAACAAGATATCGCTTCTCCTATAAAAACCTCGTCTCTGTGCCTCTCCTCCCCGTCCTGGATCCATTAGCGTTAAAAGTGAGGGGACAACAGACAAAGACTAACAAATCCTACAATAAAACGGAACCCCTTAGGCTCAAAATACCTGTGCTAGATGCACTGGTCCCCAGTCTTCAGCCCCGCTGTGCATGGAAGGACCGAGCATCGCATGTGGGTGAGGAGCCACGAGCTCCCCGGGCCAACGTTGACACGGGACTCGCTGCTGCAGGGATGGGGCTGATGAGGAGGACTCAGCCCCGGGGCCTTTGGGGTGCCCGTGGCCAAAGCCTCGGCTCTGCCTGCCCGCTGCTGTGTGCACTGTGCCGTGAGGGGACCCTGCACAGCCTTTCGTATGCCAGCTCAGGGTTTGGGACGGGGCGCAGGGAGGCTGTTCCAGACTTGCTGCTCTGCCTCAGGTCACGCTGCTGAGTAGATGTGTGAAGGGGATGAAGGGCCGGAGGTGACAGAAGCGTACAGCTGTGTATGGCTGTGGGTGGGCCCCAGACAGCGCAAGGCCTGGAGGGCAGTGCCAGCTCCCTGGGGAAGCCACTGGCACCCAGGGAACCGCCCCGCAGCCCTCTGTAGGATAATTAAAAAGTCTGGCACCAGTTGTCAAATTTCACGTCATGAATTAAAAATTTAAGCTGGCTCAAATGTACTTAGTAACCCTCACCCATCCACCCGGGGCTGCAGGGTCTCTTGGGACCACCACCAGCAGGACCACACCAGCGGGATCACCACCAGCAGGACCGCCACCACCAACACCCATCCCGCTGCGGGCACCTACTCAGGGGGAGGCAGGGAACCTGCTCTAATTCTCAAGTCCCTGTCTCCTGGGTTGCTTGGATACCGATCACCAGACCTTTGAAGGAGATTTTGGGTTTTGTTGCCAGGGACTCAGATGTACTCATCCCTCCCATAGACCGGTTTGCTCTCTTTTGCCCTGAATATCTTCCGGCATAATAATGACAAGCCTCAGTCCCTGCTTTCATGTCTGAAGCGCTACGGAAATGTGGTGCACACAGGTAGAACACGTTCTCCTACTTTTTAATCGCATTTATGGCTGACGTTCAGCGCAGCCTGCCTTTCTGGCTGCTCTCATTAGGCTGGCCAACCCTCGCTGCTGCTAGGACAGCAGCACGGTGACAGCTTCCTTCTGCTTTTGGGGCGAGCATGACACAGCTGTGGGACGCGTTCCTGTGCAACAAGCAAGTGACTCACAGCAAGCAACGCCCTGAGCCTCTACGTGCATTAGTGCTTCTAGCTGCTGGGATTTCACTGGGAATCACGCAAAGGGCACTGGTTTTATTTCCTTAAAATGCTGTTGCCTAAGGTCACATTATTCCACTAGTGCATCAGTATTCACCATAAAAAAAGAGAAGAGGACTCATCTGCAAAGAAAAGCTTGGAAATGGTATCAGTGGGCAGCATGCACAGGGAAAACTGTTCTTACAGCCCTCTGACAGCTCAGCTGCTGTCACGATGTGGCCCGGGGCTTGGCGTAGGCATGGGGGCATTCAGCCTGTGTTTCTTTGGGACTGTGTTTCTTTGAATAACCTGGCTAGCAGATGCTTTCTGTCCATCTCTCGGGTGAGTCAGGGCCAATGCAGGGCTGGCAGGGCGAGGAGAGCTGCGCCCAGCAGCAGGAGCAGCGCAGTCTCGCTCATCCACACGGTCCTGTCTCCTATTCTCTTTATGACACTGACACAGCAGGCTAAAAGCTGCATTAGTTACCACATTTCCAAGGTTTCCATCCCCATGGACACTGTTCCCCAAACAGCTTCCTAAGGTAGCCGACAACACAAAGACCCCAGTGAGTTGCCGAAAGCCCGGGGAAGGCAGCAGTGCGCCCATGGCCCTGGCTCCTTGCCCTTGCTGCTGCCCCATTGGCCCCATTGACTTTCCTGCCATGGCCTCTCAGCTGACGTTTGAATTGTTAAGGAGCATGTAAAGCAAGCGGCTCAGATCCTAGACAATAAACACACTACATAACAGCAGAAAACACATTTCACAGTTCCCTCCCACTGTGCTGTTTTCTCCCCGTCCCACTGGTACCCAGCCCCTCTGTGTGGCTGTCTCCTCGGGGGGAGGTCTGGCTGCATGTGTTCATTTTTTTTAACTTTGCAAATACAGTAATTTAGTTTAAACTAATCTTGAAATTAATAGTTCCTTGTGAAAAGAACAACTAGCTCCAATATAATAAGATATATATATTTTTTTCGAATCATTAAAGAGCTGAAACCTGGATTGAGTCAAATACACATGCGTAACCCCTGTGATATTTTAAATTTAGCTTTACAGAGAAAGACTTGGTCATGGATTATTGGTTTCTTTTAGTGATGCTGTGTTGTAAGGCCATGCTCTACCTGGTAGTATATCACCTTATTTAGCAGACTACGAAGTGATTAGTGCATTCTAGGCCTGCCTGTCAACAGATCATCACTTTTAATTTAGACCAGCTTTGTATTCATTGGCATCCTTTTCGGGGCAGATAAAGCTCTTGCTCCATAACACCTTGGCCACGGCAGACTCACACCCAGCTGCAGATGAAGGTTCCACTTTCACCGTCGCTCAGCTGACACGAGCCCAAGCACGGTGCTGAGAGAGGCTGGGCAGCATCTGCCACTCAGCTGACAGAGGGACATCCCCAGCTGCTGTGTGCAGACACAGCACCCTTGAATTAGTGCTCAAAGCACTCACCCTGAGACTGCCTGTCCTGAACGAGGCTGACTCCCTGTTCCACCTGCTGGGCCACAAGCTGTGTGCTAAGCCCCAGCCCGGTTGGGGCTGAGACCCAAAGCTACAGCACTGGGGCCAGAGCCGAGCTCACCAGTGCGTGCGCTGTGCCAAGTGCTCCTGTTGTCCATGCACAGCTGGAGTGTTTGGAATGTGAACCTGGAGGACAACTGAGAGGTAAAATCCCTGCCCTTGTTCACATGACTCATCCTTGCTCCCTTTTTAGACCAACCCCAGTCAGAGCCCATTAATTGCTTCGTGGCTGGTCAATGTACGGAGGGAGGTCGTTTCCCAAGCTCTGCTATAAATCTCATCTGTGGAGGCCACACAGCAGGGTCAGCTTGTTTTTCTCGGTGGCTGGGAGCCTCACGGAGCTGCAACCTGGCAGGGAAATGCACCGGCAGCAACTGCCACCAGAAAGCCCTTGTAGGATGGCTGCGAGGTCCTACAAGAGCTGGCCAGACAGCTCCACCTGCACTGTCCCTGCAGCAAAGCTCTCATTTTTTTAAGCTTCTTTGCCGAGGCAGGAGCCTACGGCTGCATGAAGCCATAATTCATAATGCCTCCATAATTCATGGGGCCCAGGCATCTGGCTGAAGTCGGGTGCTGCCAGCTGAGCGTCCTTTGCAATTGCTCTGTCCCTCTCTGCCTCTGCACGGCCACTCTTCGGGGTGCTCAGGTCTCCTAGCTCACCTCTTCTACGACACCCTCCTCACACTCTTTGCAGGGTGACTGCAGGCACTGGATACCATACCTTTGAAGCTTTTTTCCATTATGTATGTGTTCTGACGTCTATCCATCCCACAAGCACCTGCATAAAAATGATATATAATGGAAAAGAAATAAATATTTATGTAAATTGGATTGCTTTGACTACTGAGCAGCATATAGTCTTTCCTCTAAATTGTACATCAAGGCCCTCATTTAGCGAGGCTCTTAAGCACATCCTCAGCTGTAAGCATGCACTCAGCTTCAGTGGGGATTCTGTGCCTGCCTAAAATTATGCATACACTTAAGAGCTTCCCTGAGAGGGAGGGCTTTCCTGGAGCAGCGTACTGCTCATTACCAAGAACAGCTATCCATCAGAGGAGCAGGGAAAAACGTCTGCTGAAATGGTCATTACTGAAACGCTAGGGGTAGGTGGAGAAAAGAAGCCTAAACAAAGCCTTCCAAACCCCAGTCTGCAAGTCATGTTACGTTACTCTGTGACTAATTTTAGGCTTTGTTTCATCTGTGGATAGTATGTTATTTAATTCGCAGCCTGAGACTGTAAGGTGCGACCATCCTTTGAAATTACTTTGTATGGCTTTGGTTATAAATTTGCACAGTTCAATATCGGATGTGACAATAGTCCCTGAGTGACTACAGCAGACTGAAAATGCAGTAAGTCAGAGAGTAGAAAGCAAACACCTCTGCCTTGTGCAATGCCGTACGAGCTTGGCATTGCTTGCAGAGGCAGAGGCAGAAGGGGCCAGGTACCTCTTCTGTGTTCACTACTGACATTTATCCTAGATATCAATCAGTTCAAAGGAAAATCTAATGGAAGCCTTTAAATCTTTTTAACTATAGAGTCTGATATTCCTTATTGACTAGCAAAATCAACACAAATTTGGTTACCGAGATAGAAATGTCTTTGTGGCTCATGAAATTCCCTGTAAAGTAATGAAGTTATGCTGGTGAAAGAGCCCTGCAAACAGTATGTCCCAGAGGTCTCCCAGCTATTTGTCCTTGCTTTTCCTCTGGTATCTGCACAAAGAGCTGTCACCACCACTGGTGCAGCACCAAACCTTTTTTTCATGACAGCTTTGTCTTTTACTAAATGAGGTAAGTCACTAAATGAGACAATCAGTGTGTTACTGGCACATCAGACAAAAACCTTTGCTCTGATTCTCAGTCTCCATCCCAGAGCACAGGAAGGGTGCTGGTGGTACACAGCTGGTGCCCTTTGATGGGGTTCTTTCCCTCTGGGCCAAGGGTGACCAACCCAAAAAGACATTTGAGCACCTTCTGCTTTGTTTGCCACCACTCAGCGAGGAGGCTCTCGCACAGAAGGGTATTGCCTGTGCGCTTTTTTCCTCTCCTGGATTTTTCAAAGGCAGCATCCAGAGTGCAGAGGGTGAAGCTAAGTCGTCCCTTGGCTCCCATCCACAGGCCTGGTGCTCCCTTTCCCAGCTGCAGAGCTCCTGATGGCCGTCCGTGGTGGTCACACCTCCTCCTGGCAGGGCTGAGCGAACCCCCGGAGCAGGAAGGCCCAGCAGCACTTGGGGACACGCAGGGCACCTCCAGCAAGGTTGCAGAAGACAGGGATGAATAACTTTGCTCAGGACCATGACCTAGTCCTCCCCAGTAACTTCAAAATATCAACCACAGCGACAAAGCAAGCAGCACAAAGCATAGGAGCGAGCCTGCAGGACAGCATCTTTGTAACTACCAGGCATTAGTGAGAAGATACCAGTGGTTAGAATAAGGACCATGCAGACTGTGACTTATCAAGCAGAGGTTGCCGTGGGAATGGTTCGCTGTCAATCTGTGCACACAGGCAAGTCGTGTACGAGAATCATCTGATCTGAGCATCCTTGTCAGATCTTTACAGAAACGTTCCCTTTGCGACTGTCAAGGCTGACTGAAAGCTGGAGCCCTGGGGCTGCCGGGAGGATGCGGCAATATCAACCAGCACCGTCGGAGTCTCAGAGGGGAAGGACTCCACTTTCTGAGCATATTTCATCAGCTCAGCTCCATGAGAGTTCCTACCAGTCCTCCTGGAAATGTCAGGCACTGGATGGGCTTCTGCAACAGCAGGGATCGCTGTCCTGCTCTGAGCTTGACCACTGAGACCCTCCGGGCCGGTGGGCTGCTCTTGAGTGAGACTGATTTTTGTCTGGAGTTGGGAACAGGCAGTACTTGCCCACAACAAGCTGTAAAACTGCACCTTGCCACACTTCTGCTCCGTTCTCACTTCAGTGTGGCTGTAGAAAAATAAACACACCTGCTGGGAAAGGTACGGGTGGGGCTGGTCCTGCCATGGGAGGGCTGCCCGACCCCACAAACACTTCCCAGCCGATTCCCTTTACTTCTGCCTTCAGGTATATTTTATGCCTCCTGTACTTATGTGTTGTTATAACCTGCTTTATGTATTCATTGCATTTCTCAAGAGGTGAAATGAATGACGGATACAATATTTTGTAAACTGCCAAAGCAGTTAATGTGGAAAAGGAGCATGTGGCCTCATCAGGCCGGGAATCTGACACATCAGGGAAGTTTAGGATTAAGTTTGAAGCTAAATTTTGTGCTGGGCTGAAATCAGAGTCTCAGCTGGAAATATTTTTCTGCACCTCTTGGCTTTGAGAAAACACAAAGTCAGCTCTGAATCACGTTGTGGCTTTGGTCCCCTGGAATAAACACAGCTTAAGCCACTCAGGATGTGCTGCAAATCACAAGTTCAGTCTCTGCATTGCTGTTAAGAGAAATTGTATTACAGATAAAAACAGTTGTGTCTGCAGCCCACTGTATCCACCACTTGAGCTAATGAGCGTAACCACCTTTTCTAAACTCAGTAGGTGTTTTAAGACTTCTGACTTGCTTGGAGTTGGAGCTGGAGTCTGCAATTGCTTAATGCAGGCTGGACTATGGCAAGAGAGATTAGTCACGGGGCAAATAATTCCAGTTCTGCAACAAGAGACTGAATAGAAAATGCAGAGGCAAGCCATTCCTTGATGCTAGCAGGGCTAGGCTGCATTAAACAGCAGGAACACGGAGCAGAGCTGTGGATGCTGCCTCTCCTTGGCACCACAGCCTCTAAACTTTGATCTGTCAAACCGATGTCCATGAGAATTGCTTGTGCACAAGGTGTTAGGGTCTGAAACGTCCTCGTCACTAGGCTCCCAGTCCATTTAACAGATAGGATCATCTCTTCAAAAAAGCCTGACAGACTGATATTTGAAGCTCATGAGCAAATGTGCCAGCAGTGAAAAAACAGACTTTGTTCTGCTCCCTGTGCCTCCAGATGGAGAGAATACAGACCTGGAGCCTGGGCTCTGCAGAACACCTGCTGGCTGAGAAGGTCCACGGGATATGTGTGGGCAGTGCATGTACCTGGGTGTATGTGTGTATGTACACCATATATGCATGGACATGCATAGACATACATGAGACCTGTTTCTCTACATCATTTCTGCCTGTTGCACTCAAAGAAAGCCCCACTGCTATCACAGGGAATATGCACGTTGGCTGAGGCAGGATCTGCATTAGGTCCTCAGCTGTGATTAAACAGCTTTTCTTAGCATCTCGCACAGCCACCGCTGGCCCGCTGACCCGCACTCTCCCCAGGAAGGCAGCGCTGTGCCAGGCTGATTCACTCGCCCCCTTTCTTGCCATGTCTGCTCCATCTCCTTGATCTGTGCTGCTGTGGCACTGCTCGTGACACGCATCTGAAATAAGGACCATGGTGGACTTTGAAACAGGCTGCTCCTTGGTCCGAACACACATCCATTATGTATGGACAGCCCTTACTCTGCGCCCTCAGAGGACATCTCCCGTTCTTTCCCTTTCCAATTACACTGCCTGGGGAGTGCCCCCTGGCTCAGCAAAGGCCACTGATGCAAACTGAGCAGCCAGAAGGTGTTTTCCAGAGCTGTAAAACTGCAGCCTGCAAGAGGGAGGAGAGCAAAGAGGGGTTAATTAAAGCACTCGTGTGCCCTTTATCAGTGTGATTGCCTTTATGAGATACACAGACAAATGGAAAGTACGTGGCATTTCCAGAAAGCATTCCTTTGGTCCTCTATTACACGCAGATAGAGAGATGCTTTGCTTGGAGAAAACTCCAGTTGATTACAGGTTTTAAAAGATGAGTGTCTGAGCTAATTTCACAGGGATATACTTACAATTTCCTTTCCCCCAGCTGTAATTTCTATTTGTGACAGTTATAATTTCGAATGAGCCTACAGACATTTTTGTGAGCCTGATGCTCACAAAGAGCCTGCCCTTTTGGGCCGTTGCCTCAGCCGGTGGAGTTGCAGGCTGAGGAACCAGGGGGGTGACCAGGAGAGTTCAGGGGTTCCTGTCAGATCCAAATTTCTCAATTCCCCTTTAACTCTTCTTCCTTGCCTGCAGCTCACTTACACATCTGCTCTTTGTAACTCTCATGGGGTCATAACAGGAGTTGTCCTCTGCTCTTTTAACTACTTAAACCAAGTTCAGCTGTGTGCAATGCTTGGCTGCTATTCCAACACCTGATCTGAGGCATCTGTGCCCTAAAAGCTGAGGCTGATGGTGGGATGGGAAGGTGACACATCTTTAACTCTTCCTTACTTCCATACGTACTGTGTCTTAAAGGTCAGGAGCTCTCATTTGACCTTCATAGGATTCACTTACGTTTTATGGTTACAATTCAAAATTAAAGTTTTCCACTTTCTTCTGAAAGTTGCACATATAAATGGGACCTGCCGCTTTTATTGCACAAAAGCAACATCACAAAATGAAAATACATTTTACAGTTGAATGCAAAAATGGTTTTGCTCTAAACTAGAACTCAACATTATGACACAAACATAAATTTTAATGTTGGAAAGGTAGAAAAAAAAAATCTTATTTTTATCAATTAGTGTGAAACAGACATATTTGTGAAGAAAAAAAAAATGGAAAAATGTTTATCAAAGCAACAGACTTGGGCTGCAAAATGCCATGGAAAAAAATGTGACTGTTTTTGCTGGAGATCACTTAGCTAAAGTATTTATCACTTCTACGTCATTCTTACCACAAGAGCATCACTTCTGCTAGTAAAATAAAATAGAGGAATGTAGGACAAATGTGGCACTCAAGGAGCACAGGATGCAACAAGATAAAAATAAATAAAGCTAGTGAGTAAAGCTGTAAAATGGTAAAAGGAAAATTAACTTGATTTGTGGAGCATTTGGAAATCCTGATTTCCCCCCATCTCTCCATGTTACATACAGATAAGCACAAGAGCAGCTCTGCAGATTATTATAAAGAAGAAAACATTGAATGGTTGATAATGATGGAAAAGGCCTTGCATTGAAGCTTGACACTTTTGTGATTTTCCTGATGCAGAGAAGACTCGCTCTTTGGAGCAAGGTATGGGGTGTTACTGAAGAGCACAGACAAGATGTGATGTCTGGTGCTGCCTTTTTAGGGTGATTCAGCTCACCTTAAAAATCCCATAAATTCCATGTAGTATTTCACTTTTCCTCACACTCTATGCTTCCAGTAGGGTATTAGTAATCCCAGTAAAGGAAAGGGAAAATGTTTTCTGCCGTGGACAAAGTAAATTCCAAGTGCTCGGACAGGAAAGCAAATAGCATCCAAAGCACTAAATTTGGATAGGTTTTGAGATAAGAGCTGCTAAAACCCCTGTTAAAACTGAAGCCAGGGAGAATAAACTCAGAAAGGGCAATTAGGCTTCAATCTTGGCTTGTTTCCTCTGGCTGGTGGTTCAAAATTGCATGAAAAATGGTCACTGTATGATGGACTGGGAGACAACAGTGTCTATCACACGTTCCTGCTCCTGCCAGAGGCTCCAGGGTTTTATCAAGATGCCAGTATTTAGTGCTAAACTTTATTAAGCATGAAAAAAAATATCCCAAATTGAAATTTTTAAAAAAACATTTGTAGAGTAGATAGATAGTGATTCAACTGACCAACCTGGGAAAGGAGACTAGAGCGAATATTGACTCTGCTTGCCCAATCCATGGTTTGTGGTAAAAGAAACAATTTTAAAATCTTGATCTTTCACTACTGGCAATTCTGACAGTGAAATAAAGACAACATCAATAATTTTCATTGTTGTTAAGGCCTTTATGAAAGGCTGATTGGGATTTGAAATCGCTCTAAAGTCTACCAAAATGATTAAATTGTTTAAAAATTACTGACCTAGTTCATTCAGATAGCTGTAGGGTCTCCAGTCTGCAGTTTCTCTGTCAAGGATTTTGTTATTGAGCTGTTCAAAAAGTATGATAATGGGTTAATGCTGAAAGAAACAGACCGTTCCCACCCAAGACGTCAGCCCACTGATGTCATGAATCAAAATGGGAGATGAGTATTACCTTGGCCTCACCATAAGATCTTTTAAGTGAGTGAAGTTTGACAGTTGTTCACTAGCACTAGGGAAAATCACAAAGGAAAGTCACTTCACCAAGCAATGAACACAAGCATGCTGGAAAATACAGGATTTCCTTCCAGGAGTAATGGGTGATCACGACTCAGATGCCCGTGTACAGGGAGTGACATGCTGGCAGTACCAAAATAACCGATGGCGATGGATGCAGCAAAGCCACCTACACAGCATGCAGACAGGCGCTGTTTGGAACGAGAAGGGGGTTGCAAATACATCTGCATACTCGGTTAAAAGAGAAACAATGGCTCAAAGATTTCTCTCAATTCAAGGAAAATAATGTAGGCAATACCGAGGTGTAACGCCCCGGGCTGCCACCCAGGTGCTGTGATGGAAGAGCCTGGGACGGGCACAGCCACACGGTGCCAGCCGCAGGAGGCTGCTGCTGCCTGAAGGATGTGTCAGAAAGGTCTGGGTTTGTCTGCAGGAGTCTCACTTGAGCTCGGTGCCAAGAGGCAAGCAATGTGTGTGCCTGAGGGATGGAGATTTTGCACAGCGGTGAAGGTGGGGAAGGCTCGGACCAGTTTGGGGTGCACGGTTCTGCTGGGCTGAGGTCCTGTGCCACAGCAAAAATGGCTCTGCAGAGTTATGTGGTCGTGCAAGTCCAGCAGCAAAGCTCTGGGAACCACCACAGCTGCTAAAGCCGCTGAGTTTTTCACCCTGAAACTTTTCCCTTACTGAAAGCACAGCGAAAGAAGTGTCAGTTCAAGGGCAAACCCCAGCCCTGCTTCAGAAGAATTAAAGTCGCGAAGCCCTTGTTGCTCTCTACAACATTTCATTTTTCCTGATCTCTTACTAATTTATGCTTAGCTTTCGCACTGGGCCTTAAGACCTGGAACAAAAAAATATTTCTGCTGTGTCCAAGTCTGTTGGGAGATGAAATCCCAGCCCCCAGAGCTATTCCCACCTGCCTTCCCTGGGCGCTGTGCAGGGAACAGTGGATCAAACGCTGCGGTGCTGAGCTTTCCTTACAGCAAGCACGGTCAGATGGGGAGTTACAAATTGCTGTCCCACGTCGTGGCTGGGGACACTGTTCTGTGCCGTGCTGGGAAGGGCTCAGGAGGTCTCCTGGGGGCACAAATTCCTCCATAACACTGCAGGCATGGCAGGTGTCCATCCTGCAGCTGGGCACAGGGCAAAAGCCCGACCCTCTTGGCCAGGTAGATGTTTGTGGGCGAGCTGAGTCGCTGAGGCTCTGCGGCCTCTCCTTTATCTCCAGGCAAAGCAGCTGCAAGTGCTCCTCTCTAGAAGGAGCACCACATTTGGGACACCTCCACTACACATTACAACCTGCATGTTGACATGTAGAAGCTTTTATCCCATCTCAGAAACCGGGTTTCATTTGGGGGAAGATTTGTAACAACCAGAGGCTGCCCTCATTGACCGAATCCTGCTGATTGAATTCCATCGATTCGGGATGCAGAAGGCAGGCTGCTGTGTTTTATCCCAAATGGGATAGGCACTGGTTAATCCAGGGACAGAAACAGCACAGAGCAAGCTCTGCACAGGCACAAGGGGTGTGCGAGCACGTGTTGGGTCTTGCTACAAGCAAGTGCACCGCATTTTCAGTGCAAACCCGAGCAGCCCCGCTACCAGCACTGGCAGCTTCCACCAGCGGAGCCCGTGGCTCGTTCTTTACTCCAAACCTTGCAGCAGTACCACGAATGCTGGTTTTCAACCCAGCTGCACCACTTAGATCACACTTCTTGAAGTCTCCGAGTTTCTATTAAAAGCTTTGTTTCTGCGGGATTTATAAATCAGCTCACAAACCCCAAATTTGGTGTGAAGAGCTGTGGGCTTGAATTGATTTTTTTTTTTTAATGAAATGATTTGGGGACATTTCGAAGTTTTGCAGAATGCAGTAATTATGAAGAAATGTGATTATAGCTGTCTCTCTGTGCTACTATCATTTCTTAACACACTATAATTTGTTAACATTTTTCCTTACGAAGATACTTCAATTTGCAAAGCAAAATTGCTTTTCTAGAGGAAAAAAAATACTTCATAGTAAATTTGCCCACTAAAAATCTCTGCTTGTAATTTTAGCAACTCCGATAAATCTACCTCATACCTGGCAACTTTTCTTTTAAGATCAATGAGATACTTGCACGAGCAAAGCAAAGTTGTTATCTGTCCCCCTGAGATAGCTGGCGAGATCACAGTGGCACGCTAGCACCAGCGTGCTATTTGTCAGTGCTCAGGTTTCCCAAGGACTCCAAGTAATTAAGCAAATAAGTGCTGGCACAAATTCCATCATACCTTTCTCCTCGAGGATAGCAGTTGGTAAGTGCTTCTCCTGACTATTGTCTTCGGGTGCCCCCAGCCCTAGCCCCTGTTCCTCGGTTTCAGAGGGCCCTCCTGAACAGGGCGTACTGCTTCTATATTTGCAGTCTTCTTTTTCTTGGGCAAGTTTTAGTCAAAGCTACTTTATGATGCTTTCGGTGGTTGAATTCGGTTTTATTAGTTGGGTGATATCCAGTCAGACCATTTCCAGTGACCTCTGTTTTGCGATTTCTAATTTTATGTGAAGTCTTCGGTAGAATTTAGAACTTCCTTTAATAGAGGCGAATCTGCTGGCTTTAAAAATTCAGGACAGGACATCTAATAGCAATTGATTTTTGTGATGTCTGTGGAAACCAACAACACCTGGGCTAGCTACGATGCTGCTCTCCTTTGGGAGGGAGGGAGGGTGGAACCAAGAGCTCTGCAAAAGAGCAAGGTGAGGATGCTCCATGTGCTCATGACATGGCAGTGCAGTAGCCTCGTGTTTTACACGGAGGGTTTTTTTTTACACACCTTTGCAGCCTTTTGTAAAAGGGAGATACATATTCCTACAGTCATGAACAATTCACAACCTCAAATATAGAGCTGGCCTTGCAGCACCGAGTGGTTTTGTGAATTGTCCCACCAATCTCCTGAGAGAAACGTGTCCTCAGCATCTTAAAAAATAAATAAATCTGGTTTCTAACTCAAGCCTTGAAAACTCTGATGTGAGGACACAGGTATGAAGGTAGGTGTGCATTGCTGTGTATCTGTTTTGAAAAATTTTGGTGCAGTAATTCTACAGGACAAATTTATTTGGGTTCATGCACCTTACTGCTTGGTAATCTGCAGGATCGCTAGAACTTGCTGCTGCTGCATGAGTAAAGGGAACACCTACTTGTAGGAGCTAATAGGCAGTCAAATTTTGGCTTCCCTTAAACTAACAGTAAAATTCCTACTGACTTTGATGGAGCCAGCATTTCACTCGAGCTGACTTAGCAAGTTCACAGATATTTACCTGTAGCACGGTGCGGGTAATTAACAACCTGCACTGAGCTGCAGGAGCCTCTGCCTCCTCCTCAGGCCCAGCGCTGCAGAGCCACCTCCTGGACCTTGCACAGAGCTCAGCCCCTCTGACTCCTGCTGGCAGCTGGAGCAGGTTTTGGGGAAGAGCTTTGATCACCGAGCACCTGAGTCCAGCCGCCTTTTACTGCAAACACCCTGGCACACAATCACTTAGATAACTGATCAAGCTCCATTTTAACTGTAATCAGATTTCTTTGTCCCATTAGTCTTACTGGGAAGCTGCTCCAAAATCTCGCTGATCTGATGTTAGAAATCTAATTTCCAGCCTCAATGCATTCATGGCCAGTTCATCCTCATTTGTTCTTGTGCCAGCTCTGTTATCTAACTTAAATAGCTCTTCTCCCAACTAGTGTTTACCCTGATGTATTTATAGATGGCAATCATACTCCCTCTCAGCATTCATTTTGCTAGATAAAAGAAGCCAAGCCTTTTTTTTTTTAGTCTCTTCTCATATGCTCCCCCTTGTCCTCCCACTTGCTGTTGCCTGTGTGTGCTGCAGCCCCAGCACTCCCCTCGCACAACCAGCTGACCCCATATACACCAGGAGGCCTCTCACTCCTCTGCTCGCTTCTGTCTCAGTGACCTCAGGTTTTACCTTCAGGGCATGAGCAGCTTCCTAAGCAGCAGCCAAATATCTGTCTGGCAGAGGGGAAATGGAGGTGAGAAACCTTCCCCCTGCTCCTAGAAGAGAGTCGGGAAGGCTTGGCACTGCTCCCTTCCTGTGGAGACAGACCTGCCTCATGTATTTAACTCCTGAACCTCCCAGATTTTTCAATCAGCCCCCCCTGCCCACCTGGCATCCTGAGGGAAGTGTCCCATGGGTGCACTGGTGGCAGCAGCAGGGGCAGTGCCACGGCCGTACTGGTGCCCTGCTGCCAGCTTCTGCCTTGCTGGGCCAGGGCAGGAGGAGAGGAAAGCAGGGACAGCAGGAAGAACAACTGAAGAATTATGTGACTAGGAGGGTGTGAAAGGAAAGCAGGAAAATGGATTTGAGAGGAAACAGAAGAGAGAATAAAGCAGAGAGAATACAAGGGAAGAGGAGAGAAAAGGCAGAATAAGACACAGAAAGAGAGAAGAGGATGAGAGGGGCAGGGGGAGCGCATGAGAGAGAGAACAGCTTCTCAAACTGGAGTGGGGCTGCATCTCCCCACTGCCCTCTCTTTGTACCTTTGCCCAAGCTGCCTTTCTGAAAGAAGTGATAGAGGAATGGCTCCGGCCCATCGCCTCGAGGCATGATCTCCTTTAAGCACAGGAGGATAACGCACCCAAGGCTCTGGCTCAGCAGTTCGGAGAATTCCTCTGCCATTTTTTTTCATTTTGCATCTGTGCTGGTTCCTTTGTGACCCCAGCTGGCACTAGAAAGAAACGAATCCTCCAAGTACAACTTGTGCACATTTCCCTGCAGAAAGTGGAAATGGCACCAGACAAACTGATTAGGAAATGAAACTCGTTAAGGCAGCCATTAGGGGCTTTATATGCTCTTTTGTCTTACTTGGCTAGAAAACTGCATAGACAGAAGCAGCATATTTTTGGCCATCCTCAGCTATTTAGCACTGCAGAGCATTCTCATGAATAAGTAAGATGGTGGGAGATGTAAAAGAAAAGTCAGGCCATACCTTTTGATAAGTGACCTAAAAATACCAGTTGTTTTTTTTTTTCTCAATATCAGGACAACCTGCTCACCAACTACTGATAGCCAGTACTACAGCGAGGCAAACAGCTTTCAGGCTTGTCCAAATGTGCCACTTGGGTTTTATACCTTTTCAGCAGCTAAATATTTGAAGTAGCTATGTGATGAGATTGCACTGCAGGCTGGGAAATCAAGATAGGTGCTTGCTTTGACCTTTCCTGACTTTATTTAAATTACCGCAATAGATTACTGGTCCAGACCCACACTCGTGGTGTTCATCCTAAATCTGACATTATGAGCATTTGCACTTTCAATCTGGGGAGTAAAAATGCATGATGCAAAGGGACCATCTACATCAGAAACCATATTTACACATCTGTCTAAACTTTTCTCTGAGAAATCTCCAGAGCCAGCACTCTTAATACAATTTAAAACCAAGAAATGTCTAACAGGAACACATGTAGAAATAGTTTTGCATGCTCTGTTTCATAGGATAGTGTCTTTTTTACATTAATTTTATTCTCACGGCTTTCCAGTTAGCAGAGCTACATTTGGATTAAGGTGACACAGCCTGCAAGTACCATCATTTTTAAAGCTGACAGCCTTAATGGAATCAATTGCATTTCCTTTTTCTTCTGCTCCCTACCCTTCGTGCCACTTTGGCTTATTAAGGCTCTGAAGGAAGAACTGCCTTACATTTACCATAGCTAAGTCTATCGCTAAAGTGGTGAATTCAGCGCAGTCCATGAACAGTCCTAGGAAATCAATAGCAACATGTGCTAAGTAATGTCCTGGATGTTTGAGTATTCCAGTCTGAAGAGCTCTGCTCGAGAGCCTGAAGTAATTGCACAGCTCTCAGAATGTCCTGGATGAGAGCAGTGCTCAGAAGCATCCTTGATCTCTTCTTGCATCTATTTTTGTCTGTCGGTAGGAAGTTTGTGTGTCTACTGATTTGGGAAACCATGATATAGCAAAGTTAGACTACTGACTTAATGCTTCATTGATTTACTTTCATTATTGCAATGAATAATTGCAATTATCTAGTTATTTATCTTTTGAGAAGCAAACGTACCTTACAGTTGCTAAGACAGCGAGGCTTATTGACCGACACTGGCACATGCTGAAACTCCCATTACAAGGCACAGAGATTATGAAGATACACGGAGGGAAAAGCAGACCGTTTTGTGTCTGTCACTGCTGCGATGTCAGGAAACTGCTACACAGGATTTTTAGATAGTGCTGGCAGGCAACAGGATCCAAAAGGCATTGCTCTGGTTTATTTCCTTGAACTGATAAGAACATTGCTACAGTGGGACGGGATAATATCTACCTTACTGGAGCTGTTTCCATCCACATTACTGGTAAAGAAGCGTGAAGTCACACCACATGATAGAGTGTGGTAGCTTGGATTGGAAAAACAATGTACGCTGCCGCTACCTTGAGATATATCTGGGAAGAAAACAAGTAATCACAAAATACTTTGGAAGCCATAACGATTCTTAAGAAACTGAAAAGATGCTAGAGACAATCACTTTAGAAAACTGATAAGCATTTTGTTAGAGTACTGGGTGCTATAAGACATCTCTAGATGAGATCTATCCTGAATTATAATGGTATGAAGCTCTTGACTACTATTAACATTAAATAGAAGATTAAAAAAAAAAACAAAATATTTATATAATACCGAGTTATCTTTTTGAAGATCTTAAGAAAATAATTCCTGACAATACATCTGTGTTGAGGGTAAGGGAAGAAATGCAACACTCTGGATATAGACTGTCTACTACAAAGTTTCTTCTCTAGTTTAAACAGGTGTAGGAGCCACTGATGAAAACCCTTTTAGTTGTGAAACATTTAATTAAAACTTTTTGTTGCAAGAAAGGTAGTTGATGTTATAAAATCAAGGTGCTATCATGGTACTAAGGAGTCCAAAACATATTATGGAAAGGCTTTTTTTTTGTGGAAAGGCTTAAAAAAAGCAAGTTGCAGCACTGAAAGGGAAACTTTGGCAGTTACATCATTACACTCAGAGACATTTTTATTTCCTCTCTTTAACTTACCAATACATTTACCAAATGAAACAATTTACCAAGAAATGCATCATATTTATACTGGCAGTTCTAATGAAAACATCAATCCCAATCTGGTTTCAGCTTAATAGCAAATTGATATCTATTTCAAAGCTGCATCAGAAGAAAGGATGACAAGTTCAAACAAATCAAAACCATTTAAACAGCCAAGCCCTGTAAGAAGTAAATAAATGGGTTAGTTTTAATAAACCTGGGAGGTCAGGTACAGGAAACACCTTCAGATGCAAAGTGTTCAGATGGCTGCATGTCCCCAGCACCAGGGATCCCTGATGAAGGTTAGAAGCTGATGGTGAGGAAGGACCAGGGCCCTGCTGGCACTGCCTGCGGGAGGGGGCACCAGCCACCATCAGCCACCCTGCCTTGCCCTCTGCTTCTCTGCTCCTGCATTTGCATTCTTGTGAACATGCACTTTGCTTTGCTGACATCTTGTGGAGATCTAGATTTAGCTTAATTTACTGCAAAATATCCCGTTTCAAATAAGTGGTTTTATCTGCAGGGTGTCTATTACATAAGAGCTGAGGCACAGAGCTGAGGGAGGGAAGTGCACGTGCACGTGTGTATCTGACCGAGCATCTTTTTTCTGCTGAAACATGCAGAGCAATTTTTGAGGTCACTGCAGAACCTTTCAGTTCTGGTTATTTTCCGAGGTTATTGCTTACAAAGTATCTCAGACCAACGTGTGATTCCAGCACTAAAGTATTTGCATTTAACTTCTTTCCACTCACCACTGCAGCCAGAGACCACAGGGCCTGCCAGGACTCTGCCGTCTCTCCTAACTATAACTCGGTGATATTTGCAATAGAATTAAAAAGAAACAGCTACGCCTGGGGGTCTGCAAATGAGAACTGGGACTGGAACCCAATTATGGCAGTCGGTGTATGCCCATCACAAACACAGCTGCTCACATACAGCCTTGGACCTGCTCGCGAGGGCCTGACTGCTCAGCAGAGAAGCGGGGCTCATCCGCTCTTCTCACAGCCTGCGGTCCCAGCTAAATGCAGATGCTTCAACCCGTGGCCTCCTGCTTTGTAGGTGAGTATTCACGCCTGAGTCACGCTGGCTTTCAGCTCTGCCTTCCCCCTTCCCTTATCTGAGTCCCCTCTCAGCTGTGGGCAAGAAGGACCAGCCTGAAGAAAAAGAGGTACAATCCGCTGCCTCTGCTACAAGATAAGAGGGCCATGCCCACGTTAGGGAGAGGCAGCTGACACTTCACTAGTTCACACCCGGCTTATCTGGGCGTAGCGTGTGTTGTGTACCTGAAATGAGCTGAGTGAAAAGTCTGTCAGACTGCCCCGCTACTTAGCGCGGCGCTGAATTAATGAATCTGAGCTCGTACACAAGTCTGCGTCACCAGAAAGCTTTTCTTCCCTCATTGCATGCGGCACCATCGACTCAGAATTACTCCCTCTACACAGTTCCATTTGGTTGATACTTAAGTACCCACACAGGTTGATTTACCTTGATAACACAGTCCATTTTCTACACATTTATTCATGAAGCTCTTATAACTGCTGGCTGGAAATACATCAAATTCAAATCTAAAGCTATTCCAGTAAAAAAAAAAAAAAAAGAAAAAAAAAAAGAAAAAGGAAAAGAAAAAAACCCTCTTCCTAAAGCTGAGAATTTGATTCTACTATGAACAGCATGTAAAGACTTAAATGGCTAAAAAAAAAACAAAAAAGAAGGGTTTAAATTAAAGCAAAACAAACACTACCAATTAAAACAAAAACCCACAAAGGTTATGTCAATGTAAACATGGAGAGATCTGTCCTGTGAAGGGACCTGTGATGACAGCGCCCTGCTGTGAGCCCTCGAGCCTCAGGCTGTGCTCCAGTGGAAGGCCCTTGAGGGCTGGAGGAAGGCCAGGGAGCTCCATCCCCTGAAACACCGAGCTTCTGCTCCGAGCCAGGGCTGTGAAGTGACACAAAGAGCAATGATCCACATCGTGCAGTGGGAGGAGGACAGCGTAGCACGGAAACTGGGCACAAGGCCAACCACGAGAAAAGGGAGTAAGTAAGCACTCTGCAATAAATACAAAACCAGACACCTCGAGCTACAAAATGGAATTGCTTTTGTCTTCCTCTGAGCTGTGTTTTTTGTGTGGATCTTCTCCACCTATGCAGGGTGTCAGTGGGGTGGCTGAAGACTAAGCAGGAGTGTTTACTCTGACTCCTTTTATTGTGCATCATCTGTAGGATCATTTCTGTAAAGGTCTTATCTAGTCTGCAGTACTCTGTAGGACTCACAACACTCTCTTTTATTGAGCTTTGCTTAGATTTTGGCTCTCAGCATTGGATTCACCCATATCAGAAAGTCTATTATGACTCCGATAAGACCTCAAGCATCACTTCATCCCATAACCAAGTCTTTGTGCAAGTCCTGAAATGAAATCTCTGCTGCTTTCCAGCACTACCACATAGCTTTCCCTTCTGTCCCCATGTCCTTGAGTTAAACGACCCGTGCTTTAAAATTCTCAGTTGGATGCAATATATTGTTCCCGTGCTGGGGAGCACCATTTTGCTTTCAGGCTTATTGGGGAAAGCCTGCTCTCAGATCCACGTGCTGTGGTTAAGCTCTCCCAGCATGGGTGGTTTTCTTTCCCACTGGCTGCTGGGCAGAATGTGCTTTATGCTGCCACATCCTTCATCCACAAACACAGAAGAGTCTAAGGGCTGCCTAGGGGGGGTTTCCCTTTCTTACAATCTCTCTCACACATATGCACGCATTATCAGCGTCAGAAGAGTTGAAGACACAAAGACCAAAAACATCCTAGAGAAATCAATTAATGTGCTGGAAGAAATTACAGCCTCCAGGAGCTGGTGATCTGCACATGTGACTGTTCAGAAACAATGACAGCACTACCCTAACACAAGCAAACAAGCAAAATAACAGCGCTGGATGTTTAGGTTAGCCACAATGTTACAGCCCATATCAGGCTAGATCCTGCAGGCACTGCTCAGGTGAAATCCCAGCCAAGGTCCTTGGGTTTGCACAGGATCATACTCATTGCACGAGTACATCTGCATTGCATTCTGCCCTTAATCCACATGCAGGACTCCAGGCAAAGACCAAAATCCTTGTAACATCTATGTAATGTTGCTACTCTCCTTCAGCATCCTGTGCAACACACAAATATACACACGTTCTCATACACACATGTATTGCTCCTGCCCTCCAGCCATGCTACGAGTCTCTTATCTGTGACCTCGTCTCCATCTGATTTTCTGCTCGATGGAAGCAAAAGGCTGAAAACAGCATTGGTAAGGCCAAAGCTGGAAGGCGAGTGATGGGTAGAAAGTTTCTGGAGGAGAAGCTACTGGAGGACAGGCAGAATTTGGCAGGAGTTTTCAGAAGCCCTTGTGCATAATCTGTAAATGTCCTCCTAAAACGAAGACCAAAACTTGAAATGATGCTGATACCTGTGGACATTTTATAATGAAATGAAGATGAAGCAGCATGATTTCTGACTTCGTATTCTTCCTCTGCAAGCTCAGAGAGCACAGTTTGTCAAGGTGGAGGCAGAAAGAAGACTGTTCTTGTGACCTCCAGAGAAAGCTGGCTGACCCCACTCAGCCGCAGCTACCTGAGTGGCAAATTTATATTGCTACAAGGATTGCACAGAGCAAGAAGAAAGAAAAAGCCCAGCTTCAGCATCCCCATCACTGAATGAGATGAAGGGGAAGGAAACAGTATTGAATTTCTTTCTAGAGGAGCTCAGGCTGCACCACTGAGCCAGTGCTGTTTGGAGGAGGAAAGTCATCTGTCTATCTTAACTGTAAAGGATGAGAAGAACCGTTCTCAGCATTAGCCCTTCTTCAGACTTCTTGCAGAGTGAGAGGCTGGGATGCCATCAGGTTGATTGGGAAATCTCCATTAATGGTAAAATATGGAGAAAAAACATCCCTGTCTGAAAGGAGTGGTTCGATTACTCCAGTCAGGAGCTCCCAACCTCAGCAATACACCTTATTTTCACATTTGTAAGTTGTGCTCTTAAACATGCTGGGTTACACATACATTAACTAGAAAAGCACACAAATAAATTAGGTGGAACAGGCTCTGTAAATATATGGATAAAGTGCCACTGTGAACGAAATGGATGGCCAAAAAGTTCAGACCAATTTTCTGTGCCAGCAGCTGTGATCTGCTCTCCTGGAACTTGGAGCCCCACTGCTGCTGAGATGTGCCACAGTTGTCTTTTGCATGTTCATGGTCTGGCTCTTCAAATGATGTTGAAATGACAAATTTCAGGCCAAATTGCACTGGCAACTAGCCAAGGATCAGATGAGCCCTCTCTGGCAACACTTTCATAAATTTCTTACCCAAATGGGCAGCTTAAGCAAGAGCCTGCGAAGCTAAAATTGAAAAATAAGAGGCAATCGGAGGAGGTCCAAGGCTGATTTTTTTCCCCATCTTGTAGCTATCAGAAGAAAGAACACTCTAGTGTAAGCCTGAGTGATCTAAACATGAGTTTAGGCAGCAGAGTTCAGCAAGCAGCCCCTGATGTGTTTGATATGCCATCGCAGGACATCGTGCCCCTGATACAAAGACCAAAGTCATGGTGCCATAACAGAAGCTCCTCGAATAAGCACCAGCTGCAGTAATATCAGTTTTTAGAGGCTCCTTCCAGGTGCATCTACAGATGCTAGGTAAGCCTCTTCCTGTTGCAGAAGCTGGATTTTACTCAGACTTGCAGCTTTGGCCTTGCAGACATCTAAGGGGAAGTGCAACAAAGTGCAGTCAGAGGGCAGCAACCCCTGAGGAGATCCCCACTGGGGACAGGTTGGAGGAAACAAGAAGGAAGTAAATCTCCTATCTGGCACCCTATCTGATACTGGCCAGAGAGGAATGAAGAATGACAGCATTAAAGCAAAATCCCCCACATCACCCAAAGTTTAGCCAATCTGTCAAGACAAGTCAGCCTCTATGCCAGTAGCAGAAGATAGAAAGAAGCATGAAATAGGATCTCAGTAAGACTTTGTTCTGACTAAACAACCCTCCTCTTCCTCGATCCTGCTTTCATCAGCTCCTGTGAAGAAAATTCCCAACAGCTGTCTAGATGACGGGGATTGGTCTGCACACAGAAGAAAGTGACTACTAATAGGAGGGCTCAAATCAAAAACTGCAACAGACAAAAATAAAACCTTATGATCAACTCAGTCAACCCCATTCCTCAACAAAAGGTTTTCTGAAGGTTTCACAAAGGAAAATTTTGCACTGCAATAGAAATTCAGCTGACATACATGTATATATTAAAAAGGGAGTCTATGTATTCTATGCAGCATATTTCATATCTAGGTACAGCCAGTATCTTGTAAGTAATATTTTACGTATAAAGCAGCTTAAATCAGTTGTATTTGCTTTCCTGTCCCTGTTAAGAGATCATGGTATTCAGGGCAAGAACGGAAATGTCATTATTTCTGATGCTCGATAGCACTTTATACATCACAGAAGCTTCTGTTTCTCCAACATACAGGAATACAAGTCTGTATTTGATTAACATAAAAAGACCCTTACCAGAAAGTGAGTAATCTGTATTAGTCATCCTCATGGCTGGAGTATAAGATACACTTGGCATGTCATGGCCCTTCTCCTTCTGTTTCCGTCGATACCACACAAACAGTGCCAGCAAGACCATAATAATTAGAAGGAGAATAATAATTCCAATGATTGCTCCCACTGAGTGCCTCTCTGATCCAAGAGCAGGGCTAATTTTAGTATAGGGGTTTAATTCTTCCATCATGAGAGCCGCTGTTAAAAGTAATTCATAATACATTGTAAATTGAATTGCACATTTCATTTTTGAGATACTACTCTTTTAAAGCAAGTAGATCATTGTTAAAAAAAAAAAAAAAGAGGGAGAAGGAGAGAGAGAGATTTAACAAATAGAATTTCACTGTACCTTGATCACATCTGATTCCTTTGAAGCCTGGACTGCAGTAGCAAGTACCTGTGACATGGTCACATGTAGCATTATTCATGCACTCACACAGTTGTTTGCAACCATAACCAAATGTTCCTGGTGAGCACTCTGGGAAGCCAAAGAAAAAGATTGGAAAGAATCCTGATATTTTTCAGGAGAGGGTGAAATCCTTGACATGGAGAAGCCAGCAGAAGAGTCTCCCTTGTTTAACTTGCATAACACTCTACTGTTAGATTTCTGTTTTTAAGCAGGAGATAACTGTATTTAGTGTACAATTTGAGGCACTACTCATTGAGCTGGAACATTCTTTCTGGAAAAGTCACATAAGACTTCACAGTGATGAAACTTAAAATATGTACACACTTTAAAAGCCTTGATATATACTAAAGGCATACAGAATTTAACAGGGCATGATTTCAGAAGCTGTAGAAAACATTTTGAAAGAGCAAAACATTCTCCACCATCTCTGTACATTGTTTTCACGAGGGGACTGCAAAAAGAAGTTTAACGTACCTTTATATGAACGAAATAGACTTTTACCAAACAAATCCTACATACTTTCATATTTATTCCCACTAGTGCTAGAGGATTAATATAGCATTGGAGATGGAATTACAGAACTGAGCATCTGAATGGTTTGAGTTGTTCCACTTTTGTATTAGGATTCCTACCACAGAAGGAATTTATATTCTGCCTTTATATTTCTATCAAAGACAAAATGATTGAATGTCCAACTGAGAAATTTATTCATACAATTACTATGATGGGCTATTACAATAAATCTGTAGGCAGCTTACTAAATTTCTTGAGGCAATGTTCAATATCAAATTGAAAGAAACAACTTCTGTCAAATCCTACTTATTTTTATAAAGAAATTATTGAACGCATGCACACTTGCTATGATTCTTAAAAATATGTTGTTTGTTTTAAGATGTGACTTCTTTTGTGTCACCACAAATGTTTTGCACAGCGTGACAACACCTCCCCAGTGCGAGTCTCTAAGTAACTTACAGCAGGCAAATGTTGATATTAAATAATGAGTGTTAGCCTGCATCTTTATAATGGTTTGCAGTACATATTAGAGGTGTATCTCTTTCTTCCATATGCAGGTCCTTATATTATGAAAACCAAAATTACTTTAATTAATGCACATTCTGATGTTAACCTGTAACTTACTTAAGGTTACAGGTCCTACTTAAGGATGCAGGCCTCTGCGTTTAGGCATTTCATCATGCTGGATGTGACTGCCCATCCAGCAGGATTCTGAGGACGAAGGAGTCTTAATACGAAGATACTTTTAGATTAAGTAGCAGAAAAGCAAATAAATGAATACATAAGTAGTTTGGATAGAAAATAAAACCTCAGGCTTCGTACGAAGGTTGTAGATTATAAATGTGGTTTCTTGTATAAAACCGTCTACTACGATAGAGTTCTGATATGAAACTTTTTACTTTCCTTTTTTATTAACGGTTGCAGTAGAGGAGCACACAAATTCACAAATTCACAGTAAATTGGCCACTTACAGAATTACAGTGGTGCCATATGTAATCCCCACATGAGCATGCAAATTTGGTCCTGAGACACATACTTGGATGAATGTAAGTATTTGTAAATGGAAAACATGTTCCCAAATTTAGTTATATGTACTAATGCATGCATAAAGTCCTGTGAAGTAAGCTTTAGTGAAAAAGCTTTAAGGCAGGCTTTTCACTTGCAAAGCTAGCAGGGATGTATTAACCCACTGCCAAAGATAAATAAATAAATAAATCTGTGGAATTAATGCAATGGTAAGGTGAGATGGATTTTACCCTGTATTTAGAATCCAAGTAAGTGTGTGAGAATTTACTTTTGATTTACTATACTGGACAAACAAGTAATTATTCAACTACAGCACATACAGTTTCCACTACCCTAAGTCTTTGTTCTTAAAAGAAGCTATTTGGCACAGCATGCTAAACATGCCAGCAAGACATTGACAACAATTGCAGTAAGATATGCAAGCACCCTTGCAAGGTAATTGAAGTTCATTGTTAAACGCTTGCTCGCTACTCAAGTTAAATGTAATCCCTCCAAAAATGACAAACAACTTTTGTTTCCTTGACCCGTTTTCATTGTAAAGACGAATCTTAATTTGGTCCGCATCTATAGCATAACAGCTTTGGCAAGAAAACTCCAGTATTCCTCAGAAGTCTGAGAGTAGAAGGATGTTTTTTGAACTGTCTTCCTCCACGCCAAAGGAAACCTAAAGCTGTTGCTCTCAACAGCATTAATGAGGCATGAGACAGTTTGTGGTTTTCCATTAATAAAGTACCAGAGGTTTGGGAAGGCTACATCCAATGTGTGCAGTGACTCGCTTTTATCTCACCTAACTTTAGGGTGGGAATGGAAAGGCCTAATTTGTAGTGGATTCACCTTTTTCCATTACACTTAAACAACGTGGCTGGCCTTCCAGAGATGCCTTCTTCTCCCTGTGGATTATGCAAGGTGCCTGGGGTTGCGGTCTTACTGACACCCTCAGTTCATAGCCTCAGTTCGTTTCTGCAATGAATTCTGACCCCCCCAACCCTCCCCACTGAGGAATGGAAAAAGAAGTCATGCAGGAACTTACTTTGCTCACACTGTTTGCCTGTAAATCCAGTCCTGCATGTGCACTGGCCGGTGATGTGGTCACAGTCTGCTCCGTTCTGACACTGACAGACATTGGCACAGTTTTTTCCATAAAAAGCAGTTGGGCAACCTGGCGGGAATCAGAATAAGGAAAGTAATAAGCTGAAACACAAACCCAGATGTGTTAACAGCACAAAATAGGTAGGCCTATAAATCTAAGGATTTTCAGCCTCTGTATATCTGAAGACATTTATTTGATGATCTAAATGCAGAGCTACCATGGCAGCCAATTTTCTCACAGTAGTGTTTCTTGTATCTTACAGAACTGCCTCTTAAGCCTTGCAGATGAACGAAAACCTGATCCATGTGCACAAACTACATTTTCAAGGAGTGAAAGAAGATGGCTAGACAGAAATTCTCTAAAAGGCCAGAGATCAATTAATTACTTGCAAGTGAAAGGGCCTTCTCAGAAGGCTCTCCAGAATCTGATCTCCTCTTTCGTACAGTGCTGATAATTTTGCTTTGGTAGGATGAGAAATCTCAAACACTTTCCTAAAGCAGACAACGTATATTGGGGCTTTAACAAGCAGGGGCAAGGAATGTACAAGTTCTGACACTGAGTCAATAATCTAAATGATTGGTTTCTCTTTTACAGACTGCCAAATGTATATAAAAAAAAAAAAAAAAACAACTTGAAAAGCTTCAGGACATTTTCCTCAGGGTGACACAAAGTTATTCGCAAGTATGAAGCAGGTGGTTTAACAGCCAAGACTGCAATACTTGGAAGAGACACGAGGTAGCAGCACATACTTTGACAGATTCCCTGACAAAATAGCGTCTCTGAAAGGCTTACGCTGAGTGCAGTAGAGCCCCGTCCAACCATGAGTACATCTACACTCTCCATCGTAAGGGCTGCACATTGCTCCGTTGTGGCAGTTGCATGAATGAAAGCAATCAGGGCCCCAAAAACCTGTGGGACAAGCTATGAAAATAAAAAACGTTTGTCAGCTGACAAAAAAACAATGATACTACATGAGTGCTGTGGAGGAACCGCAATAAAGAGAACCTGTGAGACACCAGCAAAGACAGAACTTTGCATTGAGGAGCTTGGCATTGCTGCAGCAGTGATTCCCTGACCAGGACTGGTTCTCCCAAGCCAACAACTGCTTTGCAAACCCAGGTTGGAAACCTGCACTGGCCAACCCTGGCACAAGTGATTCCTTCTTCATGTAGGTCAGGTGGCAGCATGTGGGCACTGAGAACCACTGAAATGGTGATGCTCAAGGTTACATTATGCTAAGTGCTCTGGCAACTCTCCCTGCCTTACTGGTGCTATCTGTGAAGACAATTTAGACAGGGTTTTAAGATCTGGAGGTAATTTAATTTTCTTTTTGATATTCAGGAATTCTTGCATAATAAAGCACAGCTATTCGTGGTTTACTTTTGCTATGCAATCAACTGCTAAAATTACCACATTCGTTTGAAGCGTAGAGCACTACTCAAATTATGTAAAAATGTAAAGAAAACTTCTTTCAGTATGAATTCCCATCCACAAAATCAAATTGCTTTTGTTGATGGGGATAATATTAAATTAAAATCTCCAGGTCTATTATGTATTTCTACAAGTACAATATTAATACATTTTCAGAAGTTATTTTAAGCCTCCCTCCAAAAATGAATGCAGTAAGTTACAGTTATTAGTGCCAGACTAAAAGATCCAAAATGATGATAACCCTTCAATATAACAACTATATTTTTGCTTTAAAAAGCACTTTCCATTGCTTCCTATTAAAGACATGAATTAATAAGGCATGGTTCCCAGGAAACCTGAAAGTACAGAAACCATGCCTATTTCCATGTATGCCATTGGCTCCAATTCTGACGATAAATGCAAGTTTCTGGCATATGACAGACATATCTAAAGCCAGAATGAATAGCAAAAAACCTGCCATGACGTAAATCAAACAAAAGGTCACTGAACTCACACAATGTAAAGCTGAACAGGATTTGGCCTAAAGTATTCATGTTATAAGCAACCAGAAATATTTTTAAAAAGCCTTTGTAAGTCAGAGCTGCAGGGTCTTTTAATGCCTCCAGAACTGGCTCTGGAGCTGGAGCTAAAATTATCTCCTTTGTGGCTCCATCTCTCGGTCATCCCAGGTTAACTGGTGCGGAGGGAGATGGGACCGAAATAGCTCCGTGCCGGACTGCAGTACAACAGGCCAGGTGGCTGCAGGAGCCTGGTGTGAGGCCAGCTTCATGTTGGGAGATTTATACTTTTTTTACAAGAAGGTAACTGTGGAAACAGGCATGTTCCTGCTTTATTCGTCCAAAATACCAAGCAGCTATCACCATTTCCTCTTGCCTTCTAAACTGGCAGTTGTTGCTACTCAACTGGGCTGCCTCACTTGGTAAGAAAATCTCATCTATTTTCAAGGTTAACAGAAACTAACAGTCATTTCCCAATTACATGGCTAAATATAATGAGGAATCTGTGCAGCTTTCTGTCTTTTTTTTTTCTTTTTTTTTGAGTGACAGCAATATTCTGCCTGTGGAAGACACACAATAAAAGCAAAATTACAGCCGTCTGTTTTTATCCGATTCCCACTTTATCACTTGAAGTTTAATATATTTTACTCTGGAATGCTGTCTAATATGCTAGTTGTATCCTGAATATGAAGTAACAGTTCTGAATGATAGGATATTGCTTCCCTCTGTGATCTATCTTCAATTAAGGGATGCTCTCAGGAAATGACACTTTGGGATCAGCAAATGCCAATCTTCTACCTGGGCAATTTTTGAGAAGAAATCCTCCATCCCTCCAAGCTCACATTGACTTTTACAATTAAATTACATTTAATAGAAATATTTCAGCTGCCTAATTTCTCAATTCTATGGGCTCGGTACATGAAAACATTTACAGGTTAATAATTTCTAATGTAATAGCTGAAAGAAAATGATTTCAAAAAATAAATAAAAGGGAATTCAGCTAGAAATTAAAAGGGAGCATGGAGCTTTCTTTTCTGATAAGAGCTTGTGACCTCCCTTTCCTGTAATAGAAGCTAGTAACGGCTTCTGCAAATTCCAACTGCATAAACTAAGCCAAAGCTAACTTAGATTAATTAAAAGAAATAAGCTATAAAGAGAGTAAGGCACTGGCTGCTGTAATACTTCAGGGATTTTCCTAGAATCTGCCTTTAACTTTCAGAAAACACTAAACAGGAAAACATGTTATTTTAAAGCGGAGGTGGAAAATTAACACTTTGCTTACTCTGAGAGCAGTCCTTCCCTATCCAGCCTGGAAAACACTGGCATGATCCATCAATAGGATTGCACGTCCCGTTCTCGGTGCACTGGCAGACCTCATCACAGTTCTTCCCATATTTTCCACTGGGACAGACTGGAAATATAAGGCAGTTCACTGAAAGCTCTTCATAATGAATATTTGGAAGTCACAGGACTTAACATTTAGCAATTAGAGAGAAAAATAATTATGACATTTTTCTTTGCTGAAGACAAATGGGCAATTTTTTTCTGGAAATATGGAACAGGCAGAAGAAAGCATTCAAGTCCATTGTGTTTGCTTACTTCCTAAGCATAAAAACATGAAAAAGTCATCTTGAAACACATATTTCTGCTGGAAAATGAATCTAATACAGTTAGAGGCATCTGTCCACCCCTTCACCTTGCTGTCATATGTGTTCAGTTATGTTGCAAATGAAGGTTTAATGGATTATATATTTTTGCCTGAAAGTTGTTAAACTTGTGCTGTATTTTTACAAAAGTAGGGTCTATTCTTGCTGGCCCACCTGGCTTGTTCTTGAAGTTGGAAGAAAGGAAACTGAGATTTTTTTTTCCCAGAATCATCTTGTAGCGCCTAAGCACAGTGACATAAAACTAATAGGTATATCTTCAGCCTCACACCAAATGACTGGAAATCTTTAAGTTTAAAGTTGATGGAAAGCTCTGCTCGGTAATGAATGAAATGTGTAATTCCTGTGCTCCTATTGGCTGTGTTCCCTGACAAAAACAAATATATTTTCAAAACAAGATAAAATACACAGTCCATCTTTGGAAAGAATGTAACAAATGGAACTGGACTTGTATCCTGGTAAATAATAGTGATGTCAAAAAAGTGATTAAGGTACTTCCCTGAATTATGCAACTGGTTTACCACTTCAGTCCCTCTCACTTTCTCATGTGCAGTCTCTGCAGGTGACCTCGATCTATCCTGACTGTGAATCAGCCAGAGATTGAAATCCTGAGCTGTGATTCATTTGCTTTTATACAATATGCCATCTTCTACTCTTACTATGGCAGAAACCTGAGAACGGTGCAGAAAACAATAGTGTATAGTCTAGCTGCAGACTTATCTGTAGGAGTGGATAAAGTTGGCTTTCAAATTATGTGCTAAACAGAATAGTTCTCTACCTGAAAAGAGATAAAACTAAACACATTATACGACACAATGAAAAGAACAATATATGGACACAAAGAGAAAGAAGGAAAGAAACGGCTTCATATCACAGAAAGAGCAAAAACTAAAATGATATGTCAGCCCAGGTTTTCATATATGCTAGCACCATTATTCACTTCCAGTGCTCTATACAGAGCAGTTCAGTGCAATATTTTTATTGCATCTTTAAGATGGAGATAGATAACATCACTTAAATGAAGCCTGGATTTTTTATCTGTACAAAAAATAGTTCTCAAAAGACTTACTTAAAACAGGAGCTGATTTACCCTGCAATGTGGAATACTAACAAATTAGGAAAAGATTTGTGGTCCAAACACTGATTCTGACAAAGGCAACAGGTCATATTTTATAAAATAAATGCTTCAGTTTGGCACAGTGAGAGCTAGCAGAGGGGTTCCTACCATGTGAGCATCTCTTGTCTTAGTGAAAGAGTATGATGCCCTCCAGGATGTCAGCATGGAAGGATTACAAAACCTATCCTGCCAAAATGGTTATTCTCTTGTAAAGCTGTGAGATCCGCATACAAGCGCTTCGCAAAATGCTTCAAACGTTTTAAACAAAGCTGTAAGGTAAGGACTAATACTGCCTTCTTCAGGAACAACCTGATTGTACAATGCAGGCAGAGATGTTAATTAGCTATAAAAGCTCTGAAGTGGGACTCTGAAAGTCTCTGTGGGACGTCAGGTGTGTTGCAGCAGCAATAACATGTTATTATCAATCCATCTTGCTACATGATTGGGAAAGATATTCATAAAACAGCTGCTTAGTTTTGTGCTGCTTAGAATCCTTAGTACAGCCATGTCAACTTGTATAATTTTGGAGGTTACACTGCTCCTTGCATGCATGTGCTGCTGCTGATGGGAGAACATTCCTGCTGCCAGAAAAAGAGACAGCACAAGGAGATGAAAATTCAAAAGTGAAATCTTTGTTTCACGTTTTTCTAATGGAAAACATTAATTAGCATTTTTCTTTCTCCAAAATAAAGTTACATGCTAACTCATTATGACAAACTGCAACACAAATTGATTTTAATTAGGACATGAATATTTTAAAATTAATTTGCTGGATAGATCAACATTTCAAAGTAAAACCAGAAGTGCTGAACATCTGAGCAAAAATAAAATAGAATTTTCTTAAGAGGATAATTAGTCCTGCTTACGCTTTGAAATCTGGCTAACTTTTCACATAAAATGGACAAATTCACTGAAATATGTTCATTTTAATAAATTAATTGGTATAATGTTTAGTTGACTACATAGCATAGGGAAAAGGAAACATGGTTACATTTAATCTGTTTAATGATTTTGCATAAGTACTGTCTGCAATTTCTAACTTACTGAAAAGCAGGTCATTAAAAAATGTCAGTTCAATTTTTACAAGGATGGTGACTTTACAAGGGCAGTAGCCATTAAGAATAATCTCTTTTAAATTTGTGTGTAGAAAATACCCCCAGTGGTATGCGATAACTCAGACTCTGCAGAATACTGTAATGATTTTGCAAGCATGTTTAGGGTGACTGAAAATGGAACTTGTGGTTAAAAGTGGACTAACTTTCAAAGGTACAGAAAAAGGTACAGAGAGGCATGTTGGGGAGAGTTGGAGCTACTTTTAACCCATGAGAATGAACTCTTTCACTGCCTCATTGCCAATTTTTCTGTTTCTTACATTTGTGTTTGGATGCATGTGATTTCTGCTGTTCCCAGAGTCGGGTCCTAGGTGGTGTACATTAGGTTGTACGCATTAACTTGGTGTTTGGTCTTCTGTAACTGAACTGTCCTCCGCCTTAACTAATACCTACTGCTCCTGCTGAAAAACAGTGTGTGAAGGTGTCATCGACATTTAGGATATGATAGGCTTAGCGAAAAGGAAAATGAAACCATTGGATGGCTGATATATTTACAGCAGGTGTCTCATTCTGTATTCATTTCAACACAGAGCAGCAGACCTGTTTTATTTATGAAAGCAGGAGCACATCACATTTACAAAAGGGTGACTAAGTACCTATTTGCATTTTGCCTCTGAAGTAAAGAATTCTTGTGATCTAAACTGCTGAAACAAGGGGAAAAAATGCAGAAACGTTGTGATTAGTCTTACTGCAGTCACAGCCACGGAAACCTGGGCAAGATGGTGGCATTTGGGGATCCTGGGCTCAGTACCTTGGTTGCAGAGTGCGCCAAAGAATCCTGGCAAACAGTCACAGTGTCCTGACACGTGGTGACAGGGACCGCTGCTGTGCACACACTGAGGGCATGGCTGGCTGCAGTGGTGTCCATGGAAGCCAGGGGGACAAACTGAAGACAGAACAAAATAAACCATCACAGGTTTGCAGAAGGTTTCTCATTGCTGAGAGCTTTAGAATTCTCTCTCTGTCTTAATCCCAAAACAATAAATTTTCTGCTTTCTAAAGTCACATAGTGGCATGAACAGAAGAAATTATGAAGTCAGTTAGACTATCCCATCTCTAATAAAGTGTGATCTCTGAGTAAAACTGTTCAAACATTCACGCCATCCTACATCTCACGCCATCCTACATCGTGTAAGTGCTTGGCTATTCTGTAACACAGATGAGCTCTCACAGCACCCTCGCTCTCAAGACATTAATTCGAGTCTCTCTAGCCCTCTCCAGCTAAACTTTCACAAAACATGTGAGTTTAAGACATTTGATGCCTCATATCCCACTGGCAGATATGGTTAATACCCGATAACATCTTCCAAAGCTTTTAAGATAGGCAGGAAGAGAAGCATTCACACACATAGACAACAGAAATTCAGAATACCATTTCCTTAGCAAATTAAGCTAAGAAATCAAAGAAGGAACATCAGGAAACTCTATGTTTTTCTTCTAAGCAACTATGTCAAAAGCTGATTTCTAAGCACATTAGGTGCAATACCTGTGTTCAATTAGGACCTTCAGTTTATACATGCCATTGCAGGAGCAGCATCCGTCTGTGATGAACAGAATCTAAAAATGGTAATTATGGCAACAGCATACAAGATCACCTAATTTGCATCAGTAATCACACTGGATAGCTTAGAAAACTTGCCATGAGCTGTGTGCTTAATTTTGTTTAAAACTTGGATTGAAATTATTGTAGAAGTTGTCCATAAGGTATGTCCATAAGGGCCAAGATTAGGGCCCAGTATCTCTTATAAACAGGTATTGTAGCTTCTAAGCATACGTAGAATGAAAAAAAAATCCACTGTCCAAACATTCACTGCTACAGATAAGCACAAAAAAATGTGAAATTGCAGTAAGTAACAGTAAAAATGCCTTTATATGTTTTTGGTTTTACTCCTGTGATTCTCTATTACCCAGTTCTGCCTCAGTGGTTACTATATCATGTCTGTTCTATTTCTTCACTGAATGACAATTTTTCTCTGGGTCGGTATGTTCACAGTGGGTGTCAGGTTTTTACACTACTGCAGATTTCCAGCTGGAACTTGGCTGACAGGTTAGTTGATGATGCACTTGCTATAAAACAACCTGGATCATTCCTGGAGACGTTTTTGCAGGTCTAAGAGCAGTAAACCATCCTGGTGTCTCATGTAATCCTGATTACACAGACAGAACAAGCTGGAGGGGTGTCATCTTCAGTACTGCCCTTTATGGGCTGAGTTCTGCTTCTAAATCAGTTTCCAAGAGGGAAACGGGAATGATTCTGAGAGTAAAATTAGCAATCTAAAGCTACCTTCGCCTACGGAGATGTCCTCTTCACGAGGTAGTCTTGAGTCTAAATGCAGCAGACAAGGTGGGAACAAGCTGAATTCCCTGGCTGTATCTTCACAGATGGGCATTTCGGCAATGCAGAGAGCAGAAGCATCCAGAGAACCCCTCTGCTGTCACCCCAGAGGGAAGGAGAATTTCTCTTCATTAAGTTCTTAGCAAATGTCCTCCGGGAACAGCCTGATTACTGGAGTTGCAAGCTGGGGACATGGTTTGCCTCTTGTAGACTACATGCCATGAGCTGATAAAACTAAGCTGGTTTTTTCATCTCAGAAAGGCCAGAAACTATTAACTTCTGGAGGTTTTGTACTCTTAGGGTTTCAAATTTGTAAAACAATTTCTTCCACAATTCCCAGAAGCTCTGAGCACCACATTTCAGCCTTGGAGAGAGGTTTTACCGCTATACAGATATGCTGAAGCACCTGGAAATTGGGGTTTATAATGGAAATGCTTATAGGCCATTAACTACAGCAGTGCTAGAGGTCAGCGTAATAATGGCTTTAAATAAAAACTGTCAGCTACAAATTATTTTTAGAGATGAGTGTGTGCTAGTGTCAAGTGTAACTGGTGAAATCAGTAGGGATATATGAACTGGGCATGGAGAATGTCTTACAGGAAGAACAAGGGCTGCCGCAAAAAAGAAAGACAAATCCATTTCTTGTTTGCATAGGAAGAAGGTTGCATTGGTTTGGATCAGTGAATAAGGGTCCCTCAGGGGCAAATGCAGCTTCCCAGATAAAGCAAATGAGAGGATTTTTATCTCCTTGACACATTTTAATATGTAGCAGCAGAGCATCAGACGGGAGCTATTTCAGGCTGCTGTGTTCCTTTTTCTGGCATATAAGAAAACATTGCCTTGTTATTTTGATAGCCAATACTCATCTCCTTGTCATCATGTGATGGGCCAGAGCTGACTCTACTTAGCAGGTATCCTACAGTTTACTGTGACACAACTGTAAACCAGATCTTGCACAAATCTTGCCAAGTTTGGTATGCAAAATTGTTGCTCCTTCTTTGAGGTCACCTGTGACCTCTGAGTACTGTGGAAGGCCAAAAGAAACAGAAGGCAACACTCTGAACAGCAGAGCCTTGACTTCTTGGTTGAGAAGATTTTTTTTGGCTTTTACCCTGAGCAAGTCATGAGCTAAAGCAGCTCAGAAACCTGTGGCTCTGTATCTCCAGTGCCACAAAAACAGCGTTATCTATCTGCTTTGCATCCTCCAACACATCTATGGAAAATCTTACTTCTCTGGCACAAGGGTCCTCTGTATCCGGGTGCACAGTCACAGGTGCCGTCCTCTGGGGAGCAGGATCCCCCGTTCTCACAGTTACAGGAGATGGAGCAGTTTGGTCCCCAGCGGCCCTGGCTGCAGATATTGTCACAGTGGATGCCTAGAGAACAGAAAGGTGCACATTAGGTTTCACACAGCTTACTCTGCTCATAGATCAAAGAAATGTATGGGTGGATTGACACCTCACAGTACATCACAGAGCAAACAAGGGAATCTGAAAAAGAAATAGCTATTCTTTTATCTGCTTATTAAAGTGAAAATTAAGAAAATGCTAAAGAAGTGAATTCTGTAGGTGTCAGTGGGCCCCTGTGCAGTCCTTAGCACCATTTCATGAAGCTCTGCATGTCATCCAAGAGATGAAGGTCAGGAATTGCTTTAAAGTCGCAAAGGATCTCAAATAACTGGCCTGGAAATATGCAGTTGATTGAAATCTGATTACTTAGCTGTTGTGAACTGGAAGACTGGGAAAAAAAAATCAGGGCTCTGAAAAAAAAAGTCTAGTATTTGGATTCTTGAACTTGTACAAATTCAGCTCTACGTTGTGCCTTGCTCACTTCCTGGCTTACGGCACAGGGCTCTGGGTTATTGTGCACATGCTCCACATCCACCCAGAGCTCTGAGTTCTGTGTTAATGAACCGAATTCTGATCTAGCAAGCGGCCATATGTGGCCATAGGCTGATCATCTGCATGTTAAATGGAGACTGAGACCTGCCAATCCAGCTCCCAGGGATTCCCAGGGTTGTTGTTTGGTATTTGTTATTATGAAAGGCAAAGCTTGGAAACACGGGAAGAAACACACAGCCAGAAAGCTTAATGTGAGGCTTCTGGCATTGTGTCAACTGGTTTTGTTTTAACTGGTGACTTTTAAAAACAAGCCCGTGCCATGGCTTGTCACGTATAAAGGCAAGCTGAGGATTTGATCCTGCACACCACTACTTCTTCAAGAGATTCTAACTCCACTGGGATAAGGCAGCACCAATATCTGCAATTAGCAGAGCTATTTGCATGATCAAGGGCTCCTTGGATTGAAAAAGGTTTGCAGGATCACGAGCTAAGAGAGACATTAAGCACTGCCAGCTGCAGGGAGTGGCATTAGCGGGAGCACACTGAGATGCTGATAACAACAGAAAAAAAGAATCACAGGCTGGCTCGAAAATTTTCCTAACAACATTACCACACAGGGTGCCTTACAACTGCTCCACCAAGATTTGATGGCATACGCTTGCCCTAGCTAGACTTGCAACATGGAGATGTTCTTTATCATCCATGCACATGTCCCCACTGCATAATGGGATAAATGCAGACAAGGGCTCGAAGAGCCCCAGCCAGAGGCTGGATTAGTGCATCGCCAAGGAGAAATACAATCCCAAGTAATTTCCTACACCTCTGATAACTTCATCTGGACGCTACAGGTAATGGACTGTATTTCTGAAGCTGTGATCTGTACGGTCACCAAACTTTGAGGATTATTAAATCAGCTAGAAGTCATTATAAACACACTTACAGTGCAGTTTCAAGTTGGTTTTATAAATCTCTGAAGCTAATACAGTAAGAAATACTGCAGAGCTAAAATTTCCCTTTTCTGAAGATTAATCACACAATTATGATGTCCCTTCCTAGAAAATCTTAACCAAGCCTGGCAAAAGTACAGTTTGAAATGGGATTTTTAGTGATACACGTTCATAGCTTTATTTATAAAGAGGCCTGGTCTGTACTGTAAAACTTAATAAAAAACACATTAAAATACAGTAAAAACATAATACAAGCTAAATCATTTAATATTTAAATACGTCTGAACTAAAGGGGGGCAAAAAGAGACAAAGAATATCTGTAGAAGTAAAATCAAGAAAAACAGTAATTTCATTACAGCCCTCCCTACTCCCCTTTGAAATTAAATCTATCCTTGGATTGCTCTAACAGTCAACACTTTGCCTGCACACCTATGCAATAAATCTACTGTACTCTGTAATTAAAAAGTAATACAATAAATGGTAAATAAATAAATGCATTTCATTTATGCATATGTATATGATCATTTATAGTTTTTCAAGTCTCACCAGAAGCTCCCAGAAATTAAATTCTGACACAAATGCAGAAAAATGTGTATCTTTTCCTCCTGACTGCAGAATTGAAAATACAGTTCTTATTGTGAATGGGCTATTTATAAATGGAGACAATTAAACAGCATTATTTCTTGTCTCTTTCAGCAAAGTTTGGGGAAGAATGACATTGACTTCCTTCTCTTGAAAGGTAGCTGAATTAGAATGCCACGACTGTTCTTTGCAGCAGCAAAGTCCTTCCTTTCGTAATGAATAATGAGGGATGTCTTCCCGCTCCTAACGAAGGCAATGAGTCATTGTGAAGCCGATTGTTGTAATGAAATGTAAAGGGGGAAAACGGAAACCTTCTAGAAGACACTGATACCTGCTACAGCACTTATTTATTTATTCTTTTTCAGAAGACAACTGAGAAGGTGCCGCAGTCAATTTTTATTACTTTCTATTACTCCAGTTCTCATGGAAGACTTCATTTTTTGGAGGCTCCTTCTCACATTGAATTGCAAATGTAAATGAGAAGTTAAAATTGCATCTGGACATGCACGTCTTATGGAATTGTGCTAAAAAAAAGCACCTTAATTTTACAATTCCCTAACTTGACAGCATATGAAGGGGGAGTCCATCCCTCCCAGCTACTTTACAATCAGAGTCAGTGAAGCAGAAAGCCTCCTTAATGTAAAACTTTAACCTTTGCTTAGGAACTTGCTGATGAACATTTCTGATAAGCAATTAGTTTTCCATTTCCAGAAATATATATAAAAAAAAGCTGAAGTTGACACATCTCAGTATCATCTCATGTTATAACTATGGATTCCTAACTCATGAACAAATTCTTTGTTTGACAAGCATGATGTAGAAATTAGAAAGACAACTACCAGAAGAATAAGTCCTTGAAGCTGCAGGAAGCAGTTCTATACATAAACTCTATTGCCTAGATACCAAGAAATCATCTTACTGCCTGAGGCTGTAGTTCACAATTGCAGATACTAGCATGAAATTACACTTCCAAGACCTCCTTAAACAATGTTCTGGGAGTGAAATGTAAGTGAAATTCACATAACTTACAAAAATTATAGTTATCCACTATACATGGGCAGAGGACATCATGCAGTAAGCCAGAGCTGAGGTAAGAGCGGAATCTGCTATGGCTTTTAATCCAGCCTGTGAAACAGGAACCCCAAAATCTCCATGTCCCAGGGTGGATTTGGGGTATTGCAAGCACTGGCTGCTCCCAAGTAGGATTTCCTCTGCCATCCTTATGACTGTTCTGTACCCAGAATTCATTCCCACCTCCATACCTTCTTCCTTTGCATGCAAAATGAGCAGGGAAAGCTAAAAAGTGCCTGAACTGCTGTTGTGTGTGCTGTGAAAAAAATGACCTTTACCCACCAGAGCAATCACAACTGCACTCATTTAAGGAACAACTACGTAGAGAGCTGTTCCAAGCTGCTTCCCCTTACGGGCTCATTCAGGATAGTTTACTACCAAGAGGTAAAGCAGATGCTCTCTGGGACATCAGGATTATTTTGCAGATCTTTGGTGCAGACCTTCCAGGGGAGAAGCAGGTGAGTTGAACAGTGATCTTCCAACTCAAAGTGGCTGGAGGTGTCTGTGTCGCGTGACTTGACGTGATAAAAATTTGTGCCTGGCTTACACGGAACAGTACAAATGTTCACCAGAAGAAGTGTGGTTCTTTGTATTCAAATACACAACCAGGACTGTGAAAGCTTCACCTAGCCTCCACACAGCCAGCATGCAGAGGAGCAAGAAAAAGAAAAAGAAAAAGAAAAAGAAAAAGAAAAAGAAAAAGAAAAAGAAAAAGAAAAAGAAAAAGAAAAAGAAAAAGAAAAAGAAAAAGAAAAAGAAAAAGAAAAAGAAAAAGGAAAAGAAAAAGAAAAAGAAAAAGAAAAAGAAAAAGAAAAAGGAAAAAAAAGCTGACAGCTATACAGCGAGGATATAAGGCATCTGTAGACGAGCTGCTTCACATACTGCTTCCATTAATAATCTTAAATAGCTTCAATGAAAGTTTGTCAAAGTAATGCAGATTTAGTGCTGTCTGTAACTATATCACACTGAAGGACTTTGGAGGGTGAAATTCCGGAAAGCCAGATACAAGCAGAATTCCCTTTCTTCTCTCTCCAGTTTATTTGTGCAATTGCACGCAGGCTTGGGGATTATGTCTCCAGCTCTTAATAAAGTCTGCCATTGTTTGTCTGCTTTGTCTCTAGATAGTTGGAAACTAATACTCTAAACACAATAGAAGAGCAAAAATGGAAGGAACAAATGAGAACTTGTGGCCTATTTTTGACCAGTGCTATCCCTTGACAGTAGCCTCTGCAGCAGGGCCTTCGTGCTGCCCAGCATCTAATTATTTTCCAGGGATGCGGGAATTTGATAAATTATAGGATGTTGGTCCCATCCCCCCCACGTACTTTAATTTTGTATCTACTAGTGTACAACTGTAATTATTTCTCTGAATAAGAACTTCAGCTTTTTTTTTTTTTCCTCAATAATCACAATCTAAAGACAGATGCAACATCAATTAGCAATGACAGGAATGATTTCAGCAGACATTTGAATCCAACACAAACATTGTGCTCTCCTCCACCTGTCTTTCAACATGACATGAAGTCATAATAAACTCTTATCTCTGGCATTTGAATAGCTCTGGAAAGAACTGCTTTTTATGCACAAACAGGCATCGGATTTAGGCAGGCAATGCCGTGGAAGCCTCAAGTTTGGTGAGTCACGCTTGGCATTGATCTGGAATGCCTGGTAGCTTTTGTTTCTGGCACCACTAACTCTTAACGGAGGTTTGACTGCCTGTTGACACAGCACACGGCGGCACAACCAAAACAGCAGCAACACAGCTTCAATAGCAGAAAGTAGCCTCACGATTATCGCTGCGATTGTAATGGCAAGGCCATTTCAGAGAGGCAGTCGCTGAAAGCAGGGCAGTAAGCACTTGATCGTACTGGAAGAGGTCTGGGAATGCATCCCTGAATGGGATCTCAAGAGCTGACTGCTCCTTCACGCAACGCA